CGCGGTCCTCCTAAGTATCGTGGAGGGACCGCGTCAGAGAAAGGGGCGGGGCTGAGCGCCGTGAACCCGGAAGTGGGTTCCGGCGATGAATTACATGCCATGCTATACCTGACAGTGCTTGAGATGCAATTATTTAAAGTAAATTACATATCTTTGAAAGTGAAACCAGTTTTTTTTTTTCATGCAGGCTCTGTCAATCATAGCCAGGGGAGGTGTGGCTAGGGCTGCATAAACAGAAACAAAGTGATTTAACTCCTAAATGACAGTGAATTGAGCAGGGGAATTATCTATACACTAAAACAGCTTTATTTAGCTAAAGTAATTTAGGTGACTATAGTGTTCCTTTAAAACCTCCTTCTCAAGTGACTAAACTGTTGCATATTTTTTTTTTTTTAACTTACAAATTTGTTTCTGCACGTTTGTGGTCCCTTTTTGCCCACCACAAACGTCCTTGTTAGTGCTGAACAGTGGCCAGTGAAATGCGTCTCATAGAGAACTATTATGGACTTGAAGAGCACTAAGGAACATCTTATGAACAATTAAACAAATTGAAGCTCTGAAAACACACGTAAAAAACTGAAATTAGTAAAAAAAAAAAAAAAAAGATATATATATATATATATACACACATATAAAATATTAAATAAGTACTGGATGTTTTACAAAATATATGGAAAAATAAAACACAATAACTTTGTACTTTCTTTGATGTTGAGCAGATGAATTCTGCAGGCTTAGATGTTAGGTGTTTTTTTGTCATTGTGTGAGACTGGAGGCTGCCAGTTTGGGGTTGGTGGTTGACAATACTTTATAGCAGAAGCCAGTTAACAGAGTTGTAAACACTTCAGACTTTATTTGAATAGGGAGATAAAAAGGATCATTAGATCCTTTAATATGCACACTCAAATATATCCTACTACTGCAAAACTGTATTTGTAAATTGCCTTTGTTCCCTGGTCAGCTGACACAATCCTTGTCCTTGTATGCCTAATCCACTGATTTTCGGGGATTAAGGGAGGTGAGCCAGACATCTACAGGCAAGGTGAGGTGGTCTCTTTTGACTTCCACCTTCCACCTCATGCCAAAAGATCACTTTATTTCTTCAGATATATATACACACACAGTATCTAACAAAAGTGAGTACACCCCTCACATTTTTGTAAATATTTTATTATATCTGTTCATGTGACAACACTGAAGAAATGACACTCTGCTACAATGTAAAGTAGTCAGTGTACAGCCTGTATAACAGTGTAAATGTGATGTCCCCTCAAATTAACTCAACACACAGCCATTAATGTCTAAACCATTGGCAACAAAAGTGAGTACACCCCTAAGTGGAAATGTCCAAATTGGGCCCAAAGTGTCAATATTTTGTGTGGCCACCATTATTTTCCAGCACTGCCTTAACCCTCATGGGCATGGAGTTCACCAGAGCTTCACAGGTTGCCATTCGAGTCCTCTTCCAATCCTCCATGACAACATCACAGAGCTGTCCTCCATGACAACATCACAGATCCGGTGGATATTAGAGACCTTGCGCTCCCCCACCTTCCGTTTGAGGATCCCCCACAGATGCTCAGTTGGGTTTAGGTCTGGAGACATGATTGGCCAGTCCATCATCTTTGCCTTCAGCTTCTTTAGGAAGGCAGTGGTCGTCTTGGAGGTGTGTTTGGGGCCGTTATCATGTTGGAATACTGCCCTGCGGCCCAGTCTCCGAAGGGAAGTGATCATGCTGTGCTTCAGTATGTCACAGTACATGTTGGCATTCATGGTTCCCTCAATGAACTGTAGCTCCCCAGTGCCGGCAGCACGCATGCAGGCCCAGACCATGACACTCCGACCACCATGCTTGACTGTAGACAAGACACACTTGTCTTTGTACTCCTCACCTGGTTGCTGCCACACACACCTGACACCATCTGAACCAAATAAGTCGTCGGACCACAGGACATGGTTCCAGTAATCCATGTCCTTAGTCTGCTTGTCTTCAGCAAACTGTTTGCAGTCTTTCTTGTGCATCATCTTTAGAAGAGGCTTCCATTTGGGATGACAGCCATGCAGACCAATTTGATGCAGTGTGCGACGTATGGTCTGAGCACTGACAGGTTGACCCCCCACACCCCTTCAACCTCTGCAGCAATGCTAGCAGCACTTATACGTCTATTTCCCAAAGACAACCTCTGGATTTGACGCTGAGCACGTGCACTCAACTTCTTTGGTCGACCATGGAGAGGCCTGTTCTGCGTGGAACCTGTCCTGTGAAACCGCTGTATCTGATAGGTGGGATGGGAATTTGTCATGTAGGGGGTCATCACTTTGCCTTGGCAGATGTTTCTGGTATCTAGTTAAAGCAGTGCTCATTGTGTGGGTAGCCTTACCCCACTAGCTGCCCCACTAACTCGATTTCAGACATGCCAGAGTTGGAAGGTCTGCACTTGCACCACCATCTTCATTCCCTGGCCCAAGAGAAGAACCATTATCTTGCGTATCTCTGTGGTAGAGCGATATAGGGTACTGATTGGTGATGAATGGAAAGACATTTAGGACCCTTCTGTGCAGACATGCAAGACCAAGCATATAAAGTGTTAATTAGATGGAATGTCACACCTGTCAAGTTGTTTCACATGGCATCCATACCGACTGAACCTACGTTGGAGGAAGTGTGGCAGGATGGGTAGTTACTAATATATATGTGTGAGTGTGCACAAATTAATCGGTTTTGAGTCAAAGTAAAAAAAATGTAAAAAGCTGATGTCAGAAATATAAGACAAGCCTGTTGACCTATAATCATGAAGAAAGTTGGACCTTGCACATTTTAATGGTGTTTAGGCAGATTTTATTGGTAAACTATATACAGGAGGAACCTTTACCAAGAAAGAACCGGTTTTGAGTCAAAAAAAATCTTGTCAAAAATGACACAAGTCTATTGATTTGTCATGGACATATCTGCTTTCTAAGCCTGTCATCATCTAACATAAGAATAAGTATGTCTGCAAAATATCTCTGTTTGACAGACGTTCGTAGAGACATGGAAAAATTTGGATCCCCAGCCATGGTTCGTGGTGCTCTTTAGAATCAGGGACACAACAAGCTTGATGGAAGAGTTTATGGCACATAAAGTCTGGATATCACTTTGTTCGAATAAGAATGTCTGACTTCCATGAAATGATAGCCCATTCAATGACACTATCTGACCTCAATGGGTATATATGACTTGGGTAACTGGGATCTGCAGGTCCAAGTAGTCCCTTCCCATCTTGTTTAAACTCCCCCGTCCATCTATTTTCCTCTCCTTCTCCTTTATATTATCTGATTGTTCTATGAAATTTGTAAGACAAAGTAGTGATTTTATTGCTGAATATATATATAATGCCAGCTACCTAAATACCACCTATATAATAGTCAACCTATGACTACAGTTTAGATATTTTTCCCAAATCAGCTATTTTGACCTTAACTATTTAATTCACTAAACACTTAATTGTACAGAACTAAAATCTCAATTGTAAAATGTATGCCAAAATTTTCAAAATGGAACTATAGTTAGCTTGGAGAAGTTTTCCGTCAGCATAATTTGCCTAAATTAAATTTTGAAATTCGGTTCTCATTTAATTAATTAACTCTTACGAACAATATTACAAAACTATGTATGCAGTTGAAAAACTAACACCAAGGGACAATGGCTGGAAAGAATAGATGAAATATACACAGCGATGCAGGCATCCCTCCTGGGCACCGAGGAGAAACATACGGACAGTTGGCGGCCGTGGCTGGCTTACATGGCGAAGCAATCCGCAAGGATAGGGGGAAATACGCAGACATGATTACAGACCTCGGTCTATCCATCAGACCAACAAACCCCCACACTCATGAACTGAGAACAACCTGGGGAAAAGAGAAACAAACAACACCCCCGGCAGGTGGCCCAAGGGCGACCTCTCCCACCCCCCACCCTTCCTGCCACCCCCAACACCAACCCACCCCCCACCCTTCCCCCTATTCCCCTCCCATTCTAAGTTTACAGAACACATAAAAGGACCAGAAACCCGTAACTTGACCGACAACATGCGACAAACTGTAAAACACTTAGCTTCAACACCCTATGCCAACAAAGGTACCAGAAGAACACCCAACTGCAACCTACATGACAAAACACAATGATGCTACAATTCCTTTCGCAACATGGAAAACTGTATAACTAACTACCTGTAAAATAATGTTAACAACACTTATATATACGGGACCCGTGGGCCCCATCCTCAGAAACTGGGACTAAAACGATAACTAACCTAAATACCTAATGTCAACAAAGGTCCTAGACGCCCACGGGACTGGCAACCGATTTACGAAACACAAAGTCGTTAAAAAGTTTTATTATCTCTCTTGCGTCTTTCCTTTATGTAACACAAATAACTGTTCAGTTAAAATTCATGATGTATAATAATCGCAACACACGTGCGTGCCCCTCTGTTAGAACCCATGACTCTGCATGTACTCTATTATCATATTATATGCCCAATAAACAGCTCTGAAATTAAAAGAAATAAACTAACACCAAGAAGAACTGTTTTCCATCTTTACAATCTAGATTAAAAGCATTATCTCAAACATAATTCATTTATTTAAAAAAATATATATATTAAAAAAAATTGAGCTTTGCAGGATTAGTGATGTGTTGTCCTGACATACCAAGGGAAGGTTAATCCTACATGCTGCTATAATATCTACTTTCATTTGTTATTAGATTTAAAATTTATATATATTTTTTTATTTTATTTTATTTTAAAAGCGATACTTAACAAAGGTAAAAGGTATATAAGAGGGAAAAAAAGAGGGGGGGGTGGGTGAATAGGATAATAATAATTATTATATGGCATTATCTAGTGAAAGGGAATCCTGGAATGTTGACATTATGGGATATCCCTGCCAAACCTCACCGTAACCATGGTAACGTTCACCCCGTGTCACGGACCCTGCTTTGCGCATGCGCGCTGTCCGCTCTGCGCTCTCTGGGAGCCCTCAACAAAGATGGCGGCGCCCGTGAGGCCGGTCCGCTTCTGGAAGCCGGGTGAGACCTATATACCGGGCACCGAGGGAGTCTGTGGTGTGGGGGGAACCCCTGCTGCAGTGGTTATGATATGAATGCGGGTCGGGCGGTGGGTGTGCTCGGTGTAGGACTGAATGGGGACCCTGGGGGGTGGTTACTGGGTGTCCGGGCCGCAGTGAGGGTCTTATACAATGGGGGACAGTGCCCTGCGGCTCCTCCAGGTCTCACATGATCTCATCCCCAGGGTTTCCCAGGAGGGGGGATCCCCCAGCCCTTAGTACACAGTGCAGTGATGATGGTGAAGCATTGACACCCCTTGTTGTTGTTGCTCTCCCCCAGGATGCTCAGCTAGGTTTTGACCGGCTGAGCATCATGGGAAATGCAGTCCCAAGGCAGCTGGAGTGCCAGCAATTATCCATCAATGATCTAGTGCAGGGATAGGCAACCTTCGCCACTCCAGATGTTTTGGACTGCACATCCCTCTGATGCTTTGCCAGCATTATGGGTGTAAATGCATTATGGGAGATGTAGTCCACAACATCTGGAGTGCCGAAGGCTGCCTACCCCTGATCTAGTGCATGGGTCCTCAAACTCTGGGCCCCCCCAGATGTTGCTGAACTACAACTCCCATGATTCTGTGAATTACATAGATAGCCAGAGAATCATGGGAGATGTAGTTCAGCAACATCTGGGGGGCTGGAGTTTGAGGACCCCTGCTCTAGTGGGACTGAAGCCCATTCATTGGGGAGCTGCTGCTTCACTCACTGGGCAGTAAGGGGAGGGGGGAATGATACAATAAGCAGGGTAGTGTGGAGAATTGAAAAAAAAAAAGCCAATTGTTGGAGCTGAATTATTCTAAAAATTGTTATGACCTAAATGTTGCAATTCCTGTGTCAATGCTTCACAGTCCCATTAGTCGTGTATCATGTCAGAACCATGATCCCATTGTACAGCGCTACCGAATTTGTTGGCGCTATATAAATAATAAAATAATAATAAACCGTGCTGGTCAACTAGCCTCTTTATTGCTCTGCTAGGCTGCTTTCTATGTCCTGGGTGCTATTGTTTTATTTTCTTATCACTTTATATTGGTAGCAACAGCATACTGGAGTGAGGTTAGCACAAATTTACCAAATAAATTTAAAGGTGCTCACTTATATTTGGCCCCGTTAAAATATATTTAAATGTATTGTTTTTTTTTGTGTGTGCCAGTTGCTGCATTTTGTTATATGGAGACCTGCTTGCATCTTAACTTATTTAAAAGAACTGACTGTGCACCAAAACAACTTTAGATCATGCCCCTGCAGTATCACTTTTGTTTCTGCTTATGATGCCCTAGCTACACCTCCCCTGCTTGTAATTGATACAGCCTCCATAATAATTTGAAAATCCAATCTTACTGCACGGTCCTTAGCTTCTGCTCTGTTAATTGAAATGTTATCACCCACATGAGATTCCTGCAGTCTCTAGTAGGCAATTCAAAAAAACACTATAGCGCTAGAAATGCTAACATGTATTCATAACACTATAGTGTCCTACTAACAATGTAAATATCTCTCCCTGGCTGAGATCGTTAAAATTGATTATCTCAGCCAATCCAATGCTTTCTCATTGGGAAGCTAATGTTCCTGTGCAGTAAAATACGAGTAAGCTCGTTAGGGCAGGTCCCTCTTCATCTGCTGTGCCTGTATGTCACACATTTGTCAGAATTCAGTGTCTTTCTTGTTTACCTATTGTAAAGTACTGCAGAATATGTTGGTGCTATTTAAACATTGTATTGTAAGAGCAGCATTTGATTGTGAATGGAGTCTGACTTGGTTTTCACATGGGAAGCCTCTAGTGGCTGCCAGGAAGACAGCCACTAGAGTTGTGTTAAGTCTGCAATCATAAAATTGCCATAAGTGCAACCACAGGAAAGGGGCGCCTCATTAGCGGAACAGGCTCCTTCCATGCAGAAGCTTGTACTGATTTCTATGTATAACGACTGCAGTATGTTCATTGCAACCATTATATGTTTATTATGTACGGTAATGACCGCTTTTCGTTTCTATGCAATTGTGTATATGGCATATCAACTTTCTCAAAAAAAAAAGAAAAGAAAATTGTTGTATGAGCTAAATGGCAATACTTTAGATCGCAAGGTTCAAATTAAAGGTCCACCCCACGCAAACGAATTTATTAAGATAAAGGGTTCTGGGTGCCTTTAGTGGTCCTTTTAACAAGTAGGAGATAAGAAACTCTACATTTTACACAGTGTGCAATAAGGGAAGCTAGAAAATGTACTTTCTTTCAGGAAGTATGTCTGTAGGCTGTGTGAAGCACAGCCAGGGGAGGTGTGGTTAGGAGTACATAAAGTGATCTAACTCCTAAATTGCATAGAATTGAGCAGTGTGACTGCAGGGTCATGGTCTACATACCAAATCCTTTAGGTTAAAGGAGTGCAATAGTGTTAGGAATACTAGCATATATTTCAAACACTATAGTGCTGGAGTAAATATTTATGTCCCTGCCCCCCCCTTAGAGTGGAGTTAAAAGGTAATTTTCTTCTTGTATTCTTTGCCGTGCTGGTCTCACCGCAGCTGGCTCCCCTCCATGGCCAAGATTATCACTCTTGATGATCTCAGCCAATCCAATGTTTTTCCAACCCAATCCGCCAATTAACACCTTCTCTTAGAGATGCATTGAATCAATGCATCTCTATGGGGAGCGTTCAGCATCTCCATGCAGCACTGAAATAGGAAGCACCTCTAGTAGGCGTCTAAGTGACTGCCACTATAAGTATTACTAGGCAGCAATGTAAACACTGCCTTTTCACTGTAAAGCCTGCACGGACATGCTTTAGACACCAGAACCAGTAGATTAAACTGCAGTGGTTCTGGTGACTATAGAGTCCCTTTAATCTAAGTTGTTTCATAACTTAGTGTCCCTTTAAGAAATATAGGCTGTTATGATTCATGTAGTGTCCCTTTAATTGAAACACTATTTATGGTGTGAAAAATATATATCAGAAAACAGATTTAGATACAAGAGGGGAGTCTAACTGTTCAGTACCCAATGAATTAGTAAAATGTTATTCACCTGTGTTTGTCTTGTACATTACATGGTATATTCCACTGCCAAAATAAAAGTAAATAATTAAAAAACACTGTTTAGTAGATAATTTTACCGCAAAATGAAAACATGCATACGTTTAATTATGCATTTTCTAGTGTTGAAGGTATATCTAAAAAACAGCTTGCAAAAGCTGCAGTTCTCTTGTCTTCTACCTTTACAAGCCCTCCCCTTATAACCTTGCCCAGACTTTCTGTGGCTGTCCAATCAAAAACGTCCAATTGCAGCTAAATGAGCAGTCTTTGTAAGGCAGGTGCTCTGAGCAATTGTTGCTTCTTGAGTTTAGCTCCACTAAGCTAAGCAACCCACATGTAACAGAACCGGTTGTTTGACGGCCTGTGGGTTTCCAACAAGAATAATTTATAAATGTGCTAATTTCTATTGAAATCTGCACTTTTTGTAAAATTGAAAAAAAAAGGACACTTTTTACACATAAAACATTTGATCAAGATAAAGTGCTTTAGGTGTCTGGAGTGTCAATTTAAGTGAATGTTTCCTAGCTAATCATACAGCATGCACCATTGTCAAAATTTTCATAGCTCCACAGCATGTAACATTTAGGACTGGGGAAAAAAACAATGAAAACATTTTATAAAAATAAGTCTCCACTATTATGATCCTCAGTCCTTTTTCCTGTCCTAAAAACAGAAGAAGGATGGAACCTACTTAACAGGCTAAGCTTTTAGTTTATGCTCGCCAGCCAGGAAAGTTCAACCCTTCTACTCTGAACATCTTAAAGGACCACTATAGTGCCCTGAGGGTGCCCCCACCCTCAGGGTCCCCCTCCCGCCGGGCTCTGGGGAGAGGAAGGGGTTAAAATCTTACTTTTCTCCAGCGCCGGGCGGGGAGCTCTTCAACTCCTCTCCTCCTCCATAGCGACGCCATCGGCTGAAAACTGCTATGTTTATAAAAAAAGAAAAAGAAAAAAAAAAGGTTAATCCTAGATGGACCTGGCACCCAGACCACTTCATTAAGCTGAAGTGGACTGGGTGCCTATAGTGGTCCTTTAAGGTGTCTTACTGGGGGGTAATATTTATTGACCTGCTACAAAATTATGTACAGGGGTTTGGTAAGCACAATTGCTATTACAGCTTGTTGTAGTAGTTAAAAGCACACTCCAGGAACGTTAACCATTACCATGGCCGGAGAGGTGAAAGTACCTCAACAGGAAAGTCCGTTAGCTTCCCTGAGCTAAGCCCTTAAATGCAGTCTATATATTGCACTTACTGCTACTACTACCTTAACATGCAATGGCCCCAGGGCACACTGCACTTATGGAGTCCATGTTTGTAGTATGTTTAAAGGGGCAGTCTTGGCACCATAACTACTATATTCCACCTATATTAGGATGTGGGCACCATTTCCAAATGGTTTAACCATACCAGGGGTCTCCAAGGCACACAGGTCACTGCCCACCTCTTGTCCACTTCTGCATCAACAGTATCCATTTCACCCATATTTTAAAAACCTTCACCTTAAAAACTAAACCCAGTGAGTATGCTAATCCATATCATTGTGTCTGTGTTGCAGGTACAGAGGGCCCAGGAGCCAGCATTGCAGAGGAGAGGCAGAGTACTGCAGAAGTCACCTCCGTCGTTTACAATCCACATGCTTCTCTCTCCATTGAGCAACAGAGACAGAAGCTGCCAGTTTTTAAGGTAATACAGGCTTCTGCAAGATCTGATCATTTTTAAAGATGCATCTATAAAGGAGATTATATCCAGAAAAATCATTTTAGTTTAGCTATACAAACGGTTATGTTTAAAACCCTCTTTTTATATTAATACTTAATTGGTAGCTAATCGCATACCATCTTGAACATCCATACCAAGGTCATTTTTTATGGCAGAGCATATCCGCAGAGTATATTTATAGCAACCAATGTGGAACTGCTCAGTTATACAATGCTTGTTTTCAGCAGTTCTTACTACAAAGTTCTTTTTATTTAAAAAATAATAGCAGGTATATGTTACATGGAGACAACTTCAAGCAAGAGTGAAATGTGTATAGAATCGAGGAAATCTAAATGTCACAATGTGAAACAATTTTTTTGTTTTCCAGTTCAACTTTTTTTTTTTGTCAATCTTTCTTTTATTATGGCATTTGCGTCACAGGGTACAGAATAAAAAGAGGAGTCATTGCAAGGTAATACATAGTAATGGTATCAGCGTGGTTTGGAGTACACTCCCAAGAAAGACTGCCATATTTATTTATTTTTTACGATGAGTAAACATAATAACACAAGCGATTAAAGATTACTCAAACGGTACCTTTCATGAGCAAAATATAGCAAATTAATCATGCTAAGTGTTAAACGGCCCAGATTCTGTTTTAGTAAGTAGAGTCAAGTTAGGTAACGTGCATTAACAGAATAAGTCTGGTAGATAAACGCGTCTATTAGTGAACATAACAACACAAACTGGATTTAACTGTAGTGTAAGAATATGTAAAGATTACTTAAGCTGTGCTTGTCATAAGACAGATTTAGGAATTTAAACAGGCTAGTACGATTAGGCATACTGGTAGACTGGGTAAGCAATTAGTAGACTATGCACAGGTTGACCCGCTAAGGTCGCAGAAGGGAGAGTGTCACATTGTGCAAGCTAAGTATGCATGACTAATAGAAACGTCACAGGATAAGCAAGTAAATATTAGTTAGGCTCTGGCTGTCTGCCCAGGTGCTCTTGCCGTCAAACGCAGTTAGTAATATCGAGGGAGTGTAAGGGCAGACCCATATGGGTTACCTGCTAATATCCACCTAAGTGGCTCACTTGAGGCCCTGCCGTAGCTCCTGTGTAATTATATATGCATATGAAAAACGACTGAAACCCAATGTATATACATGTAAGGAAATTAAAATAAAGGGAGACGGTACATGAAGAAGTGTGGCCCTTAAGGTAGTGACTGTGGGCACCTGCAGCCTGTGGTGACAGCTTGGAGACCCCATAGTCCCGCTTATATACTGCACGTGTGGCCCAGGGATCGGCATGCTATATGCAGTGTGCTGGTGTGCGGAGTTACCTAATGCTGTCATGTTCGGCAAGTAGATTGACATGTGGGGTTATGATTGTGGTGCTAGTTTCCAGATCGGGCAGTGTGTGCCACTGAGGCTGAGAAAGAAAGGGTCCACATGGGCAATGAGGTAATATTGGTAGCGTTCATGTCCGCTTTAGTGGGTCAGTCCGTATGCCATCCCTGCAATCCAAGTTTCTTGGGTCCCTGCATCAACCGATTCCTTTGCTGGGCTTTGTAGGAGCGGGCGTCTGTGGGTCTTGGGGGATGGAGAAGGGTTGCGTGTAGCTTCTCCCCAGCTCCAAGCCTTATTTGAGGTCGACATCCTTTGGCCACAGACTCTGGTTCTATGCGAGGCCGGGTCTCTCCTGTTGTGGGCGCTGTGGAAGACCGGTACCTCCACGTGCTTGGTATTTACAGAAAGGTCACACTTTCACCTGTTCTTTGGCAACCTGCTTGGGCCCGGTATCAGCTCTGGTTCAGGTAGGTTCAAGAGAATTTACAATATCTCGCAAGAGCTACCGCAACCTGCGTCCGCTTGGTTCTGCAATCAGACTCTGCCCCCCCCCCCAGTTCAACAGCTTTATAACACATGAAATATATATCATTTTTTTTTTTTTTTTCATATTTCCTTTCAAATGGTATGATTTAAAATTTAAATCCCTTTCAGAACTCTTTACATAAGTTTCCAGAACATAACAAATTGTGTATGTATCATGTCAACTTTAGCCTTTATTGAAGGATCAGAAAAGTATTACTCTATGCCCATGGGAGAGATGTGCCATATGCACCCTATCTTCATCTATTTCCGTATTGTTAGTATCCTAATTTGAAAGGATAATATACCTGATAGAAAATATTAGAAAAAGGGCTAGTCTCACTTGCTAGAATCCGTTAAATCCAAACCCACTTTACATTACTTGTGCTTAATAACAAAATCCCGAGTAGTCCCGAGTCTGATTTCAAGCTCCTGTCCCATCAACCGGGGTAAGTTCCCTGGTGTCCTGCATCTGATGGCCCGAGGGAAGTGTCTCCAGCAAGTGCAACACGTGTATCGTTAGGCACACTTACACTGTGCTAAACGATGTCAATGCATTAGGAGCATGCAAAGCACAGTCTGCTTTTTCTGATGAAGTGTCGGTAAGGATCAGTGGTGATTCTCTCTGTATGTCTTTTTTATAAAGGTTATTTATCCATACCTATGGATCCATGCATTCTATCTTCTTGCAGCTCCTTTCTGCTCCCTCACACTCTCTGTAGTAATGCCGGGTTGGAGTGACGCCATATTCCGGATTCCAGCATCTTTAAACAGCGCGCAAGGGAGCAGAGAGGAGGTAGATTACTGCTCCCTTGATCGCAGCCTCCTTGATGCCTCAGCCGGCCTCCTCCATACTCACCAGGTCGGCTGGCTCCAATATTTCCCACTGCGGCTAGCTTCAATGCTCCCTCCGGCAGCTGCCTTAACTAAAGGGCTGCCATCACAGGCGCCAGGGAGAAATAGCTACTGACCATGACGACCTGGGATTTGTCGAGCTCTGCTATTCCCTTTTTTAATCTGTTTATAAGAAGTGCTTAATCTGACAGGTCTTCTACATTCCTAAACTAAGATATTTTGTAAATTGTTTAAATTAATGAAGGAGACCCTTGTGACAAGGGGATCCCAATAGTGGCTCTGCACACACAGAAAAAAGGTACATAGTACCCAGTTAGTCGGAAAGGTGGGGGCACTCATACAGGAGTAAAGAGATGGAAAAGGTGAGGAAAAAATGGGCAGAGGCCCTATCTACAATTATAAACCATATACAACTCACTGTCTATTAGAAAAAAAGAAAGAGTCCTTAAAATAGCATGAGAATAAAGGGGTACAGTGTATAGGGGAAAGGGGGAGGGAGTATATCACTCCAAAACAACCTTTCCCATAGATAGTTAAATCCCCTGTAACTCAAGCTAACCGGACTAGCAAAAGTTAATGCCTCACAAAAAAAAAAAGAGGACATAGAGTGCCCGCACTATGAACAGAAAGACAAACTATGATACTGGGTGGATAAGTCTTCAAGGGTGAACAAACCCAGCCCCTAAACTGAGACCAGACCACACCAAAGAAACTGTCACTGTCCAAGCATCAGATCCTAAATAAACTGATAAACTAACTAAATCAAACCATACTACCTACCTATGTGCTACCTAGTGAAAAATAAAGTAAAGTAGAAAACCGCTCGACGCGCGTTTCTGCGTAATAAACGCCGTCGTCAGGAGCTATTAAATTGTATGTCCCACTCACCGGTTTAAATACCTCCATATTTAGAGAGAAATCCTCTCAGCTGGTTCGGCATGTTGTAAATTGTTCTTTTCAATAACCTATAATTCACATTTTCTTTTTAATATATTACAACATACATTCATTTTAACTTAACACATGAAATGTTAAGTTGCATTTAGGTCACAGATCCCATACTTAACAAGTGCCTGTATTAATTTCCCCCAGCTCCGAAATCATATCCTCTACTTAGTGGAGAATTACCAGACTGTGGTTATTATTGGAGAAACTGGATGCGGTAAAAGTACTCAGATCCCACAGGTAAGTTCCATGGTTGTATGAAATAACCTGCTCTTTGCATAGTGTGACAGTGTGTAGACTGTTCATCTTAATAGTTTAAAAGGAGTCACAGAAGCTGAAAATAATAGAGAAAATGTAGTCATTTGAGAAGCTAATTCACTCATCTTGGAATTGCAGAATGTGTGCCTATGCCCCTGTCTGTGTGTGTGTGCCTATGCCCCACACAGTTTTGGAGTGCAAGCTGGAATGCTTTAATGGAAGCCACAACTGGCCTTATACGCATGTCCCCATGCAAGGGGCACTCCCCCCCTGGACCTTGTGGGGGACTGCAGCACAAAGTCACAGACCAATGACAAAGGTGTTTAAATACACAACACTCCCATATACAAGCATACAATCCCTCCCCTCTGCCTGTGAGATAATTGGATCAGTAACTGTACTAATTCTAATCCAGGGCTTGACAAATCCCTGGGATTTGTCCGCTTTTTATCTAAAACGCCTGGCTGGGCAAATCATGGAGCCGGCCATCCACCCACGGGAGCATGTAGGCGGACGGCTTAGTGAGCGTTTTAGCCGGCCGCCCTGGGCTTCATGAAGGCGTTTGGCTGGGGCAGCGTGCAAGGGAGTAGTGATCTTCCAGTGGCTCCTCTCTGCTCCCTCGCGTTGTGTAATGATGCCGGGAGCCGGAATATGACGTCATTCCGGCCCCGGTATCACAGGGAGCAGAGAGGAGCTGCATGGTAGATCACACACAGGAAGAGAGAGCAGTTCCTCTGGAAGAGTGTGTGTGTGTGTGTGTGTGCACGCCTCTGTCAGTGTGTGTGTGCGCGCCTCTGTCAGTGTGTGTGTGTGCGCCTCTGTCAGTGTGTGTGCGCCTCTGTCAGTGTGTGTGCGCCTCTGTCAGTGTGTGTGTGTGTGTGTGCCTCTGTCAGTGTGTGTGTGTGTGCCTCTGTCAGTGTGTGTGTATGTGTGTGCCTCTGTCAGTGTATGTGTGTGCCTCTGTCAGTGTATGTGTGTGCCTCTGTCAGTGTGTGTGTGTGTGCCTCTGTCAGTGTGTGTGTGTGTGCCTCTGTCAGTGTGTGTGTGCCTCTGTCAGTGTGTGGGTGTGTGTATGCCCCTGTATGTGTGTGTGTATGCCCCTGTCTGTCTGTGTGTTTTTTTCCCCTCTGTCTGTGTGTGTGTGTGCCCCTGTCTGTCTGTGTGTGTGTGTGTGCCCCTGGCTGTGTGTGTGTGTGTGTGTATGCCCCTGTCTGTCTGTCTGTGTGTGTATGCCCCTGTCTGTGTGTGTGTGTGTGCCCGCCCCTGTCTGTGTGTGTGTATGCCCCTGTCTGTGTGTGTGTATGCCCCTGTCTGTGTGTCTGTGTGTGCCTATGCCTCTGTCTGTGTGTGCCTATGCCTCTGTCTGTGTGTGTGTGTGCCCATGCCCCTGTCTGTGTGTGTGTGTGTGTGTGTGTATGTCTGTCAGAGAGTGTGTGTCTGTTTAGGTACCTGCGATCACGATTGGTGTTTTTACTCACCCTTTTTTCCCCCACGCTGTGCAGGTTTTGCCATGGCTTGTCCCGCCTCCATTGCCGGGTTCATCAGTCTTTTTGATCTCAGCTAAGCCAATGCTTTCCCATAGGAAAGTATTGGGAGGATATTGCGCATGTTCTGGATGGGTAACATTCAGCGCGTCCATGCAGAGCAGTGACACAGTACTCTCTTGTGGCCATCTGAGTGACAGCCACTAGAGGTCTTAGTAGGCAGAAATATAAACACTGCCTTTTCTCTGAAAAGGCAGCGTTTATATTGAAAAGAATACAGGGACAGGCTATAGGCACCAGAACCACTACATTAAGCTGTAGTGGTTCTGGTGACCATAGTGCCCCTTAAAAAAACAAAAACAAAAAACTGGCTCCTAACTTTTTTCGCTGGCTCCTAGATTCCAAACAAATTTGTCAAGCCCTGTTCTAATCCAATTATCTCCAAGCACAGAAAAAAACCATACTTTTCCCAAACACCCCAAAAGTACCCTAAATATACATGTTACATCCCCTGATAGCCCAACATATCCAAAAATCACCCAGATCAGTTCAGTAATTTTCTGGAAGTCATAATTTTGACCGACCGTGCACATGGTCCTATGCCCAAAACAGTTTCATGAAACTAGTGCTAACGGTCGGTCAAGTTTGGTAGTCTTTTACAGGTTTCCCTGCAGGGCCCATAGTCTGTGGGCAGGAGGCTGGCAAGCAGGCTTCTCCAGGAGCTCGTGGCAAACTCACTTGGAGAGGGGAGTTTGTCACAGTAGTCGTCCAATGTCAGTAAGGAATAGCATTTTATCCACTCCCCAAGGAATTTTTGGTTCCGTTCTGGGGATATTCCCATCCGGAAATTAAGAGCGAAAGAAGAATAGAAAATAACAGGAATAAGTAGAAAGAAAGTAAAGAATTACCTGGAAGCTACTAAAAGGCATTTGGTTGATATTGGAGATGTTTTCTTGGAACACTTCTATTAATGAATAAGTTTCTTTTTATTGTTTAGTCTGTATTTTAAGGACCGCTAGATTTGAATTTAGAAGTTAATACTCTGCAAATTTACAGCTATGATAAGGTAACTCTGTTTTGGCCACAAAATGTGAATGGGGAGTTGGTGGCAGCACACACTATAGTTGTTATTGAACTAGATTCGCACTCCAGGCATTGAGTGATTTTAAAAATGTTTAAAGAGGCAACCCAAGCACCGTAACACCTTGGGCTAATTCCATGTAAGATGTAGCATGAAGTGCTCCTTCTGTCTCCATGTACAAATTTGTTTATATATGTTGCAATGTGCAAAAATTACTGCAACTACTCTATAAGCCCACTTCCTTAGTGAGATACATTGCAGGGGAAGGAATGCTTATTCTGCTTTTCCAAGAAACTGTACACCTCCCTTGACAAGTTTTTTCATAGCTTGTTACAAAGAATCCTCAGCCAGGACTGCTTGCAATCCTTCTCAAATTGTCCATGGTGATCTCAGTGAAGCGATACCTGTGCTGAGACCGCAGTTCCATTCATCTGATCAATGGAACTTCTGTCAAGTGCTGAACTCTGTGTCATATACACTTCACCTGGAATGATTTTGTGGAATAATCAGTTTCCCTTGAATAGAATTAATGAATTCTAGGTTTTGGCAGAGCTCACTACAGAAACTGCAAAGCCTAATGATTTGATGCAAATGCAGGTACTTCCAAGATCGTATCTATTGTATTTATTAAATACATTGCTACACGAAAAAAAAGGGGTCATCTGCAGTTTGGAGTTTCCCTGTAGCATGCAAGTCCAGTGTAATTTTGATCCGAGATCAATTTAAAGGAACACTATAGTCACCTAAATTACTTTAGCTAAATAAAGCAGTTTTAGTGTATAGATCATTCTAAAATTTCACTGCTCAATTCACTGTCATTTAGGAGTTAAATCACTTTGTTTCTGTTTATGCAGCCCTAGCCCTAGCCCTGGCTATGATTGACAGAGCCTGCATGAAAAAAAAACTGGTTTCACTTTCAAACAGATGTAATTTACCTTAAATAATTGTATCTCAATCTCTAAATTGAACTTTAATCACATACAGGAGGCTCTTGCAGAGTCTAGCAAGCTATTAACATAGCAGGGGATAAGAAAATCTTAATTAAACAGAACTTGCAATAAAGAAAGCCTAAATAGGGCTCTCTTTACAGGAAGTGTTTATGGAAGGCTATGCAAGTCACATGCAGGGAGGTGTGACTAGGGTTCATAAAAAAAGGGATTTAACTCCTAAATAGCAGAGGATTGAGCAGTGAGGCTGCAGGGGCATGTTCTATATACCAAAACTGCTTCATCAAGCTAAAGTTGTTCATTGACTATAGTGTCCCTTTAATTACTGTACAAGATGTAGTTCTCAGGTTTTCCTTAGTTGAATGCACTAAAGCCTGTTTGGCACGTCTCAATAGATGACTTGGTTGGCATGGAGACACAGTTTCACTGAATGCATCAAAAGGAATCCTTTTGTCTTTCTCTGCTGATCCGCTCTGACAGTTATCCAATAAGGCACTGCGGATTTTAATTTAAGAAGACATTTATTTTGAGACAGCTTGATTTAACAGCTAATGTCAGGGTTACGTTTCCTGCTTATCCAGGGTGCCAAACTGCTTCTGCTATTTGATGTGAGCACAACTGAGTAATAGCTTTAGTAGCAGTAAATAAGTAAAGGATCCATGCAATTCAAGCCCTTTCCAGCAGGAGCATTTCTCTGCCCAACAGAGCTTGGTGGGATATGTTGTTCAGCCTGCGGCACTTTTCTTGTTCCTGGAGGAGAATGGGCTACTACTGGAGAGGGAAGAGGAAGAATAAACTAGAACTGGAGAGGGGAGAGGGAAGAGGGAGAATAAACTAGTACTGGAGAGGGAAGAGGGAGAATAAACTAGTACTGGGGAGGGAAGAGGAAGAATAAACTAGAACTGGAGAGGGGAGAGGGAAGAGGGAGAATAAACTAGTACTGGAGAGGGAAGAGGGAGAATAAACTAGTACTGGGGAGGGAAGGGGGAGAATAAAGTAGCACTGGGGCGGGAAAAGGGAGAATTAACTAGTACTGGGTGGGAAGAGGGAGAATTAATTACTGGTGAGTTTATTTTTTAAAATGTTTGCTGTGAAAAAGTTTATGCTATTTCTGCAGACCGGTGGCGACTGGTGACGTTTTAAGATGGTGGGGTGCCAGACTCCTCCTCCAGAATTTTACTCCTCCCTATACAGTACAGAGATACTCATACAATACAGAGAGGCTCATACATTAAAACAAGCTGGGCACAACATATAGATATCTGTCAAACACACAGAGCTAGTTATACTACAGAGATACCCATACAACAGGTAGAGCTGAGTAAAATACAGCAATACAACCGAACTGAGCACTAATAAATATCCCACACAGCCAGGATCACGGTGATAGAACACACAGAGCTTCAATACAAAGATATCCACAACGTACATTTCTCTGTATAATACTCCAACTGCCTGTCTATTTTCCTAGCCCTCTCTTAGTTCTCATTCTCACTAGATCATCTTCAGCAGTCTCCTGTTATAACTTTAGCTTTCTATTAAATATTGCTGCTTTTATGAAAAATTCCAGCCACTCCATTAACTTTTAGCACTTGGTAAAGCATCAAGATACTGATAGACTCCAGACATGTCAGTTACTCCTGACTCACTATTAGCTCTCAGCACATATTGTACACAGAGTTAAAGCAGTAGGATACTGAGAGACTCCTTATTTCCTTTGCAACTGTCAATATAATTAATGTGCAGTGGCAATATGGAGCCAAGAAGTAGCTGACATGGTTACCAGAATTAAAAATCATTACAGATTAAAACAGATTGGAATCAGATCAGTCCTCACAGTCAAAGCCCTAGTCCTGCAGTATGAAGCTTTAAAACTTTCCAACTAGCCACAGCATAAGTGTCTTAGGTCTCAGCTACAGAGTTACAGTGATGGGTTTTTGGCTGCTGAGCCTACGCTATGCAATTTGTGGTAGTGGTTACTCAAACTATTGGTGACAGACAGCACAGTGCTATGTGTCAGAAATGTACCGCTCACCTTGCCGCCCTTGGGCTTCCCTGGTTTTTTATATATATATATAATTTTTTTTTATTTTTTTTTACATATTTCAGTAAATTTCCTTGCTTAAAGTCTGCCGCAGTGCACTATAGTGCCCTGAGGGTGCCCTCACCCTCAGGGTACTCCTCCCGCTGGGCTCTAGGGGGAGGAAGGGGTTAAACTTACCTCTTTCTCCAGCGCTGGGCGGGGGACTCTCCTCCTCCTCGGCTGAATGCGCATGCGCGGCAAGAACCACACGCGCATTCAGCCAGTCTCATAGGAAAGCATTCACAATGCTTTCATATGAACGCTGGCGTCTTCTCACTGTGAAAATCACAGTGAGAAGCACGCAAGCGCCTCTAGCGGCTGTCAACGAGACAGCCACTAGAGGCTGGATTAACCCTAATATAAACATAGCAGTTTTTCTGAAACTGCTATGTTTATAGAAAAAAGGGTTAAACCTAGCTGGACCTGGCACCCAGACCACTTCATTAAGCTGAAGTGGTCTGGGTGCCTATAGTGGTCCTTTAATCAGCCCTTAGGCAGTCACCGGGGCTATTGGGGGAGAGAAAAATATATTATACACTTACATTTGGCAGGAGCTGCTGCTGGTGTGCTTTCCCTGTGTGACTTTCAAGATTACTTTTTGCATCTCTCTCCTGTGGGCACTATAACCCCCACCTCCTGTTATTAGCCAATGATAGCCCCTGAATAGGGAGTCCATGAGCATGCCTCCATTCATTGGCAGCTGGCTCTGCTGCCCGAATGGCAACACAATAGAAATTTCTGAAATTCCTTCTTAAAGGAGACTAGGCATGTGCAAAATTTGCTGAAACAGGGCGGATTTCAAACCAGCCCCATTTTTGACATGCCTAGATGGTCTCAAATAAACTTCTCCATACAATTACCAATGAGGTGGATGGGCGCTGCAGAACTGAAACCTATCACAGAATTAAACAGACGCTAATTTTGTCTTGTATTTTTTGACTTACCACCATTCCTTCCAGATAAAGAATCTTAGTGTTTATAAACTACTGCAAATTAACGTTTTGCCCACATAAAAAAACAAACAAACCTGGTGGGGTGCTACGCCAAGTGACCCTATGAAGGACCCTCCACTGCGGCAGACACAAGGTCCATTAACTTGGATTAATTTCCTAAAAATGGTACATTTTGAATCCCTATTTCATGCTGAATAGCCCTTGGACTGCACTGTATATCTTAAATGGAAAACTATTGTTATATTTTTGGTTTTTTCTACATGAATTTTATTAAAATAAATCCAATTTAAAGGAAAAAAAAATACTGGCAAGTTAAGCCGGTCTTTAAAGCATGCCAGGGTCCATTCCAATAAAGCAGGCCAACCCACTGAGAACAGGACTTGCATTAAAGGACCACTCTAGGCACCCAGACCACTTCAGCTTAATGAAGTGGTCTGGGTGCCAGGTCCTTCTAGGGTTAATCCATTTTTTCATAATTATAGCAGCAGAGAACTGGTAATTATGAATGAAACTAGTGGTTGTCTATTGACAGCCGCTAGAGGCGCTATGTTTCCACTGTGAAAATCACAGTGAGAAGATGCTCATAGGGAAAGCATTGTAAATGCTTTCCATGAGACTGAGAGCGCGCGCAGCGCATTCAGGGGGGCGTCAGCGGAGAGAGGAGGAGGAGAGCTCTCGCCCAGCGCTGGAAAAAGGTACGTTTTTACCCCTTTCCCCTTCCAGAGCCGGGCGGGAGGGGGTCCCTGAGGGTGGGGGCACCCTCAGGGCACTATAGTGCCAGGAAAACGAATATGTTTTCCTGGCACTATAGTGGTCCTTTAAGCACTGTTCCAGTGATGCCTGCAGAGTCCTAGAGCTCTGAGTGTAAGTGAGTCTAATAATGTGCTCACATTGCACTTTTGTGGGGCAAGTTTCCTCATGTCCCCAAAAAAAGGTCAGGAGAAGAAATTCTGCCAAAATCTGGCATGTTGGTGGGTATGGTAATCACAGCTATTGCCAAAAGTGGCCAAATGTGAACCAAAAAAAAGAAAATATTCATTTAAAAAAAAACAAAAAAAACTTCTTATGAATCCATGTATTAGGGGTATGGAAGTCTCCTGGTGTTAGAGACTATAAATTTGGCATATGACTGACCATTAATCACATTTTCTTATATTAATCTTATTATTTTCTGCAAGATATTTGCATTTAGATTGTACGTCAGACACTCAGAGTGACAATTCACAATCATCCTGTGCTCACTACTTTGTCTGCCTCTTGTGTGAGTATTGATAAGCATCATTCACATTACCAACATTTCTATTAATTATGACCTATAAATACAGATTATGAGACCAGTTACTGTTTATTTTATATATTCATTATTTTTTCACCCCCATTAAATCTGTTTGTTAGTTATTTATTTTTTGACAATATTATTATTTTGTTTTATTTTGGAGTTTAGAATAACATACAAGTTTACTCCGATACAGTATGGTAAACAGGAGTGAGGAAATAACAGAACATACAAATTACATGTTGGTAAACATAGTCAATTGTTTTGTGTCGTTTAATAGTTCACCTGGCATTTATCAAGAGTACAGGGAGGCGGGTTATGATGGCCAGGTCCAGAGCGACAATCTTTGGCACTTAAAGTGAAGACGGAAAAATGTTAGATGTTTGAATTTTGTTGCTAATTATTCCTCTCTTTTGTCCCCCCCAGTACCTCACTGAAGCAGGATGGACTGCAGAAGGCCGGGTAGTGGGGGTGACCCAGCCACGCAGAGTGGCAGCTGTGTCGGTAAATGCTGCAAATGTTATTTGTATCAAATGTTACATATACAGGCTGAAATGTTTTTATATGGCTAATCTGGAAATGGTTTTTACAAGTATAAAAGTAGTGTGATGTCGAAGATGGGTTGATTATTTGAAACAACTGAGTTAGCATCATAAATTGGGGGTTCCGAGGGTCTGCTTTGATGTGGCTCATACTCTGTTCCATAATGTCTTGCCATGCTTTGTCGTAGGTGGCAGGGAGAGTGGCAGAAGAGCGCGGAGCCTTGCTGGGACACGAGGTTGGCTATTGCATACGATTTGACGATTGCACAGACCCGCAGGCTACTCGTATTAAGGTGAGATCAGTGTGTATGGTATATCTACATGATATTTCACTTTTACCTTAACAAGGTAGCTTTTATGTATATAAAGTTGTGTAGTTAACCCTATGTAATCTACACATATAAGATACCATTGCAAAATACTTTCAAAAAAGGTATTTAAGGGGGCGGGGCCGGACCGCCGGAGGGATCAGACGCGTTCTGTCTGAGCTCCCGCTTCAGGGCCGAAAATCGGCGATAACTGGGGGCCAAATCTAACCAACGACACACTCCGGCAACTAAACTGACCCCCAGCTGTTGGGGAAAGCAGAGATGCCTCCCAAAAACCCTACCTGGTACCAACGGTGACCCGATGGAGGCCCGAAGCACGGGGGAGCTTGAGCCGGGAAGAGACGGCCGCTCTCCCGGGTCTCCAACCGCCGGCTGGCTTCCCCCCCCCCGGACCGGGGGGGTCATCCCGGTCTACACAGACATCCACCGGTGTGCCAAACCAGGCCTAAAAAAACCACCCCGCCGAGGTACACATACTGAGCAGTGCCCCTCAAGATGGCTGCCGCATGAAAGCCACGTGCGTGAACTGCCAGCACAATGAAGCCGATCGCAGAGGAGACCACCCATATGACATACTCCAGGGCTATATCTGCTGACCACACCGAGACCGGCAGCGGTGAGAATGGCGAAAGCGGGAACAAAGCGGAGGAGCAAGCAACCTCTCCCACCTGCACAAGACAGTCCACTGATGAAGAGAGTCAGAGGCCGCAGCTGGGCTGCATAACTTGGACCCAGCTTCCTTCACCGAACCACCACAGACAGCACATTGAAACCTGCCAACCATATGGACTAGGACTATTCAAGCCCTTCAGCCTACTTTACCAAGCGGTATTGTACGGACACTCTCTCGTGGGTCTGCTTATAGCCACATACCCATGATGTTTTGCTTTAAGGCACATCGCTATATATGCTTATTTAACCCTTGTAAAATGTGTTTGCATAGCAGAATTGTTGGTCTGGATTAAGTTTACGTAGCATATACCTAGCTTGAGATGAATATCTACTGTAAGGCAAGGCAGAACAGTTTGAATACACATCTCCTTAAGTGTCCTGTCAATCTTATAGGCAGCTTACTGTCTACCTACGTGCTACATAATACAGGCCTATTCTACTTTTATTATTTTTCTCACACTTAATTAGCCTAGCTAAGGGTATTTTCTCGTTATCAAACCTTGCAACTAGTGGTTACCCCTTTTGCCTGCGCTTAATTGGTCAGCCGTGTGCTACCTCTATAATGCATCTATGTTGCCCACACAGCACACAAAATCCTGCCATTATCTCCATGCCATGCTTATGTCTAACCGTGAAACTGCTTATCCAAGCTGATGGGGCACTGACGGATGTCTTTAGCAATGTTTAATCGACTCTAATCACTTCTATATATGTTAGAATCATAGTACGTTTATTGTCTTCAGCTGGATGACCCCACCGTGACCTAACACAATAGACGAGCAAAACTAGCTTGTACTTAATACGTTAAAAATGTAAGCATGTTCCTAGCCTGTTTTATCTAAAAAAAAAAAAAAAATGTGCTGTATATTCTTGCCATAACAATGTACACCGTTGAAACGCCTGTAACCGCTGTTGTGGCGCTACAGTCTACTCTGTTATATAATCAAATGCACAAAGAAAAATAAAGAATTAAAAAAAAAAAAAAGGTATTTAAACTGCTTATAACAATGCAGGTAGAATGTACCAGTAATGTGTCTAAGATGTTATAAACAGGGATCCCAAAGATGGTGTAGAACTACAACTCCCATGATGCATTGCATGTCTTTAGAATGACAAAGCATCATGATAGCTGTATTTTTAAAACATCTACCTTTTAGGCACCACCTTTATAAAATCTCTATACAGACAGCATTTCCTTTACTGTCGTATCATATTGTTAGACAGGATTTTTATTCAGTAGATAATTTTAATGGAGGGACAGATATATTATTTAATGTCAATATACCAGTCTCTGATACATATTTTGATCAATCCTTTCTTCATAAAGGCACTACTGATCAATTTCATTTGTGTCTTGTTCATTAAGCTTGTAATGACAAACTACTTTTCCCAAAATGCTTTGCCAAACACATTTTTAACTTTTTATTTTTTTTAATTTTTTTTAGTTATCAATTTATGCAGTCAGTCTTTTTAAAAGCTGTTCAGTAATGTCACATTTCTGGCTCTCCCTGAAGCCTGGTTCCTTTATTGTTGTCCGAGTGCAGTAGGAAATTGCCCCCTTCAAAATCTACTTGTGTGCAGACACACAACTGTTTGGCTGCTGTCCATAGACTGCCAATAAACTTTACACGATGCTGACAGATCCTTGCTGTACAGTTGAATCAGTGATTCCAGCTAGTGGTTTAATGAATAAATAGAGAGTGAGGCTTTTAGCTCTCTGCTTGTTGGTCTTTCTCTCCTGTTAACCCATTATCTCCTTGTATCCAGTTCCTTACAGATGGCATGCTTGTCCGAGAAATGATGTCGGATCCACTGCTCACCAAATACAGGTTCGTTGCTTTGTCTTTCTTTTACCCATGGAGTATAAGAGGTGGGAACAGTTACTGGGTTAACAGTGAACTACAGCTGCGTGTGCACTCAGAAGAAACTGAGAAGGGCCTTCCACATATATGTGTGGAATTTAGAACCCAAACAGATATTTAGAAGACCACTTGTTGGGTGCTTAGGTGTCAGGGAAGCCTTATGGAGATCTATAATAATAAACTCAAACTCATGAAGTTGCTCCTAGTACACAGTGTGATTTTTTTTTTTCTTTGTATTTTTTGTTTGCTACAATTAAGCTTCTCTCTTTAATACATCTATACATTATTAGAATTCAGAATGTGTGTGTGTGTGGGGGGGGGGGATTGTGCTTGCTTGCATTGTTTTCAGTTGGTATCTCTGTGTGAGAATATGCAGTTGTACAGCGCTGCGGAATATGTTGGTTTCATGTAAATGCCATAGTAATAAAATATCAGTAAAATCTAGACTGTTAGTGAGCCCTCATGTTTAGGTAACAGCAGACGAATGCCTTGCAGCTAATCTTATATTCTGGTTAACCATATTACTGCAGTAAACCCATTGTCTGGGGGTTGGTGAAGATATTGTTATAAATTTATTAAATGTACTTTATCTTGCGTGCATGTAGAGCAACTTTGCCAACTGGAAATGTAGCAAATATCTGGCAGAGTAGTATGGAATAATTCCACTTAGAATTTTAGAGTATCTAAACAGACTTGACTGGTTTTATATCACAGAGCAGTGGTTCCCAAACCAATCTACAAGGCACCCAAACAATATCGCCATATGAACTGAATTGGGAAATAACTAAATCCTGGACTATGGGGATGGGAACCACTGACATACTTAGCACAAAGGACAGAGATAGTGTGTGAGACAAGAAGTACTTGCTAATGTAATAGGATTAAACTCACTGTGTTTACACTGTCTGTCGGACAGTTTGCTGCTAATAGATCAGTTCATCATACTTTCTGTAAAGTTCTCTCCCCTACCCCCCTAGTATCCATGGCATGCTTTAAAATCTGTTTAAATGTTTACTCATTGTATGACAAGCGTATCATCCTCTGTTTTAATTCTCCCAGTGTGCTCATGCTGGATGAAGCTCATGAGAGGACTCTTTATACAGACATTGCTATCGGACTCCTGAAGAAGGTAAGAGAACCTAACTTTGATGTCTTACAATAGGGCTGACTCAGACGTAGGAAATGGCAATGCATTTAAAAAAAAAAAAAAAAAAGTGTCTTTAAAGAAGTATAAAATAGTTAAAGGACCACTATAGTGCCAGGAAAACTTGTTTTCCTGGCACTATAGTGCCCTGATGGTGCCTCCACCCTCATTGTCCCCCTCCCGCCGGGCTGAAGTTGGAGGAAGGGGTTAAACACTTACCTTTCTCCAGTGCCGGGCTCCCTCGGCGCTGGGACTCTCCTCCTCCTTCGGTCTTCATTGGCTGAATGCGCATGCGCGGCAACAGCCGCGCGTGCATTCAGTCAGTCCATAGGAAAGCATTCTCAATGCTTTCCTACGGACGCTGGCATCTTCTCACTGTGAAAATCACCGTGAGTAGCGCCTCTAGCGGCTGTCAGTGAGTCAGCCACTAGAGGCTGGATTAACCCATATGTAAACATAGCAGTTTCTCTGAAGCTGCTATGTTTACAACAGGCAGGGTTAACCCTAGAGGGACCTGGCACCCAGACCATTTTATTGAGCTGAAGTGGTCTGGGTGCCTATAGTGGTCCTTTAAGATCACCTGTTTCTCTATGCACCAACTGTAAAAAGAATTGATTAAATTCAGTTTAGTTATACAGTGCTAAATCATCATTGATCTATTGATCGCTTGACTTGTTTATGAGCTGCACTTCCCATAATGCCTAAAAGCTTCCTAGGTATCATAGGAATTGTTGTCCACAAAACATAGGGTGACACGCTAAGCCATAGCTGATCTGGATGATAGACTTAATATTTTCAGCAGATGAATACAGTTTTCACATGACCAGGCAAGTTTAGCTGTACCACTTATATACCTTCCACATTAAACAGTGACCGTTTTCAATGGGGAGATAGCCCCTTACAAAAAAAGGCTACAGGTCTGTGAGGTCAGTTCCAAAAATCTAAAACTCTGAATATCACAATTTTTAGAATACAAACTGTGAAGTAGTTACTGCAATTTTTTTTCCTTGCATTATTTTTTACCTTGTCATATGTTTCTAACCCTCTGTTCAACCTTATGGTAATTGGCGCAGGTCCTAAAACGCTATTTATAGGTATCATATTTTATATACATCGACAGATTTAAGTACATGTTTTCCAGTGAGATTCGATGATTCTAAAGATAAAATCTTTTCAGTTGACATTTTGAAACCAACAGTTGTCCCTATTAATACAGTAAACATGATGATCATCGGGTTGTTGTGATTTGTTAACTGATTTTCAAAATGTAGTTAAAATTGGGAAAACCCTCCAATTTACTGTCTTAAGGACTTTACCAACCCTGTCCTTTTGGCTTAAATTTTGCAAGACTGGTTGAACTCACTATTTAGTGAATACCCTACTATTTAATTCATGTCAAAGTTGTGCAAAAGTGCCTTGTATAATAAAAGACCATTAGGGGTATTCAATTTAAATTATCACTAATATGACCATTTATATAGCGACAACAGTTTCTGCAGCACTTTATAGTTCATCAATGGGGATATTTAACAATAACTAATTGACAGGTACAAATAAAGTTTGCAGGCACAAAAGATGAAGAAATTTGTTTATCTGCTTGATTGAATTAAAACATGGCACAGCAAATGGGTATAGCGCAGGACAAATAAAAGCAGCAAGTAGCCTAATGCCTTTCATGTTTTAGAGACCAATCCCATATGTTGCAAGGTAGCTGTCTGTCTGTTTATGAACAAGTAACAGAGACAGCTACAGTAGCCCTAAAGTGATCTTTTCCAAAACCAAATGCAGAGACACCCCTCAGCTCCCTAGACCCCAGGGAATGGAGTGCTGCAAACGCTATCCGTCTCACAGCAGCCAGAGGTGGCCAGGAAGAGAGAGAGGATAACTTAATCTATTGTTTTCCTGTGTGTCTGTGTGCGCGTAGGAGTGTATAATTATGAATGCATGTGTGAGTGAAGGGCTAATGTAAACATGTGAGAAAGTGTGTTGCTAGTTATGTATGTTTGTTTATGTGGGTATTATAGGCGAGTGTATGTCGTATAAACTGTGTCAGTGTATATATTACTATGTCTATGTATTTTGTAATGGGTGGAAAGTGTGCTTGACCCCTAACCTTCTGCCCTGGTTCTTAGGTTCCAGGGAAATGTCAACCCCTGATTTAAGCTTATATGAAGTTAGAATATATATTTTTCAGTATACTTAAAGGACCACTATAGGCACCCAGACCACTTCAGCTGAATGAAGTGGTCTGGGTGCCAGGTCCATCTAGGATTAACTCTGCCTGCTGTAAACATAGCAGTTTCAGCGAAACTGCTATGTTTACATATGGGTTAATCCAGCCTCTAGTGGCTGTCTCATTGACAGCAGCTAGAGGCGCTTCCGCGCTTCTCACTGTGATTTTCACAGTGAGAAGACGATAGCGTCCATAGGAAAGAATGCTATGGAGAATGATTTCCTATGGACTAACTGAATGGCACGCGGCTCTTGCCGCGCATTCAGCCGATGACAACCGAATGAGGAGGAGGCGCTGGAGAAAGGTGAGTGTTTAACCCCCTTCCTCCCCCTTCAGCACGGCGGGTGGGGCACTATAGTGCCAGGAAAACCAGTTTGTTTTCCTGGCACTATAGTGGTCCTTTAACATTTACCATACTGCGAGGATTTAATGGGTAGTTTGTATTTACCTTGCTGGCTGAGATCATCAAGATTGATGATTTCGGCAAATCCAATGCTTCCACTTGGGGAAGCCACTCGTAACATTGCCATACTAAACGGCAATGTTTTACATTGAATACCTTTAGTTGTCCTTTAAAAAAAGCACTTATCAGTCTTTTTGCTATTGTTGGTTTATACCCTGTATCTGTTATCAGTATTTTTCTATCTATACTTGCTCTATTATTTATTCATTTTTGTTATTCAGGTTCAGAAGAAGAGAGGGGATCTGAGGCTGGTTATAGCATCAGCAACACTGGATGCAGAGGTAATTACAGCATATAAACCGAGACTCTTCATCTAGATACATTGTTCTTTTTATCATCCATACGGGTTTTCATTTCCCCCTTTTAACGGTTACTACAATAACGCCTTTTCTCTGCTTATTGTATGCTTTTTGTGCTGCACTAATACAATGTGACAATATACTGTGCTTGATTCTAAAATCCAGCTGTCAGTTCTTTGATCTGAATACTGATGTTATTAGATCGCTTCCTGAATTACATCACACATACCGGGACATTTTGTTACTTTTGATTAACTATAGAGACACAATGTACACAATGTACAAAGCGCTGCATCATATTGAATACATTAGGGGTCACTGTATATATTTTAGCTCCTATTATACTGTATACTGGGTGTTTGTATGACGTGTTATTAGTGTTTGTGACACTACCTTGACCATTGCCATTTGTGCCAGACCTGCTTAATTCCGGTTAAGACCTTTTTTTTTTTTATTGCCGATGTGAATATATCTTTGTTAATTTTACAATTGTGTAACTATTCTCCATGTTTATATTCATCACGATTATACATGAACCATACGATGTATATAAAATGTCTGTAATTTCTTTATATTTTTAAATTTAAAAAAAGTACATTAGCTGCTAACTAATTAAAAGTCTCAAACCCTTGTGCAACAAGTACATATCACATGAAATGATTTAAATCTCATCCCAGAAACAGCAGAAGCACTGCTATGTCAAGACACAGATTCTGATGCCTTGTGTGAATTGGCATCTGAGTGAACCAGTGTCTGCAGTCATGTACCGATCTTTTGCTCATGTGGGGCTCATCAGCACATTGCTCACCAGGGTTTGCTGTTGGAAATCTCTCTGAGTGCATAAAGATTAGCAGTAGCGAGATATTGGTGATTAACCCCTCAAGGACCAAACTTCTGGAATAAAAGTTTTGTTTTGTCAAATACAGGTCATACAGCCTTCGGAAACGTAACATGAGAACCAAAAACGTTACAATTCTATCTGTACCTTTTTAAAATTTTAGCTTTTAAGCAGGGCCATGAAATTCTGATGTCTTATAGCACGAAGCTATTGCACAGGATGATGTCTGAAAATTTAAAATAAATAAGGATATCTAAAGCTGGAAGAGAGACAATATATTTGGTATATGCACGTATTACTAAATTCGGGATATGTATTAAGTTATAATTTGGACACGCTAATATTCCAGAATTGGCACTTGATGTTTGAAGCTTCTCTGCTAGAGTGTATTATTATTTAGGGTAATATTCGCCATTGTGTTCAAGTAAGAAAACCTTTCTAGTTTGAACAGGGGAATCTAAGGATGGACTTTTGAAAGGTAAAAACTGGCAAAACAATGGTTACAGCCAGGGATATAAGATCTGGAAGAATATTCAGTGTTCACTCCCGGTTTATACTTGCAGGCGATAAAGTGAATTATTGTTGTTTTACAATTTTATTTTATACATTTCACTGTTATATTTTCTGACTTTAAGTGTACATTTCCTTTTTCTGTTTACACAAACACAGAAATTCAAGGCGTTCTTTAATCAGAATGATACTAATGACCCCAACAGGGACACCTGTGCTATCCTAACTGTGGAAGGAAGAACTTTTCCCGTAGATATTTTTTATACTCAGAGGTTAGTCTTATTAACAGTTTAAGTTAAAAATTAGCATTGCATGTACAATGTCATTATTTGTTTCAGTTGTCTTACTATGTTGTTTTGTTTCCCTTTCTGTGACCTTTTCGTCACCTCTGTATACTTTTAACCACTCATCCACATTCCATCTCTTTTTGTTGTTCCTCTCCATCACCCTAGTCCAGTTCCCGATTACTTGAAGTCCACAGTCCAGACGGTAATGACAATTCACCAGAGTGATATGGAGGGGGATGTTCTGGCATTCTTGACTGGCCAGGTAAAAAATGTAATTCTTATCCTGGACTATGGGACAAAATGTAGAATCTAAAAACAAATCTTCGCTGACTTCTTTTCACTTGTACCTAACTATTCCATGCCGTCGTCTTCCTCTTTTCTTGAAGTTCTTCCTTCGTTCTGTTTGTCATTCCATCAATTTCTTTTTGTGCAAGCCTTTCTCTTCATTACTTCATCTCATGCCATCATTTACTGTCTGGCAGGAGGAGGTTGAGAGTGTGGTGTCCATGCTGGTGGAACAGGCCCGTGTTCTGTCTCGCACAGGCATGAAGAAGCACTTACGTGTTCTCCCCATGTATGCTGGGCTTCCTACAGCCGAACAGATGCAAGTATTTGAGAGGGTTCCTCCCAGTGTCAGAAAGGTAAGCATAAAAGATGGCGATTATTTTCTTCCTGTTTAGCATAGATATTCTAGGATTGTTCATTTGGCATTCTCTGCTCTGTGTGTTTTTCTACATCCTCAGGTGGTGGTTGCCACTAACATTGCAGAGACATCCATCACGATCAACGGCATCTCCTTTGTCATAGACTGTGGCTTTGTCAAGCTACGAGCATATGACCCCAAACGAGCAGTTGAATCTCTGGTTCTGGTACCTGTGTCTCAAGCCTCAGCTAATCAAAGAGCAGGGCGCAGTGGGAGGAACCGTTCTGGGCAGTGCTACCGACTTTACACAGGTAAAATTGTGATGACACATCTTCTGACAGATTAACATTTTGTAAGCAATATTTTTCCCTTCTAATGTGCCCTATCCTACCGGTGAGAGTTACACCTCACAACTCCAACATTGATGCTCATCTTTCTTAAGTAATCATTAGAAATGTTTTGTGTCATTGCGGGTTAGCCATCATTACTATAGGTGAAGTGGTGGTGACTGGGGTAGGGGGTACATCTGGGTTAAGGGTCTTATGCAGCTGAAACGCAGAACTACAAAAAAAGCCTACAAAGATTCCATTGTGCTAAAAATTACATCTTACTCTTCTCAACAATTGCAAACTTAGTGTACATTTTTCATGTCTCAGCAGTTAAAATTGCAAGTTCTCATTAGCTCTTGCTTCCTGGCAGGTTTGTTTTAGAAAAGCAGAAGTAGGGGTGCAGCCTGACAGCCGAGCTTGCCAGATGTGCTTTGCTAGAGCTCTGGTCCCTGAGGCAAATCCTGGCAATAAAACTACAAACACACCCACCAAAATTGGGTGATAAAGCTTCAGGGGTTACCCACAGCATCAGCGAGGCTGCTGATCGAGCCAAAAGCTCATAGCCTGGGAGGATTAATTCAGCAGGGCACTAGCGGCCTACACTGAGCTACACGAGGGTAGGAGACGCGGCTGATCTCTCCACTAGCATCCGCCCAGTAACGTGACGAAATAGCACAGACACTGTTCCCCCCCGCCCTCCCGCCGGAGAGGGATATTCCGGCACTGCGCTACAGAGTTAACCTATTGACCTCTGGTGTTGGTGTGAAAATTTTAAGCGAAGACAACGCTGTGTGCTTTGGCCTCACCAAGATGGCGGATGCCACATGCTCCTCCGCCAATGGAGACCTGTCATACACCACCCAGCAACATCTCGACAAGCTGTTTGAAGCCTTTTGGCAACGAGTCAGCAGGCGATGGCAAAAGCCCGCACATAACAAAGTGGCACAGCAACTCCCTGACCTACCTTCGACTCCCCACCAGCAGTCTGTCAAGGCCACACCGCGGACAATCACAATTTATTTGCAAGCTCGACCGAGCGCTCTGCATATTCAGAACAGGAGGACTCACAAGGGGGTGCCTAACCGGAGAAGGCTCTCGAAGAAACAAAGCAGCCGGAGGCCGGTTCGGAGCCAGTCTCTCACTACCAGCAGCAAATGTGCTGGGCACTACACTCACCTGCCGTCCAGTCCCCTTCTACAGAAGACGCCGCTGAACCTGCCGATGAACCGCCACCAATGTCTATCTAAGGGTGACAGCCCCTCCATAAGAAAGCTTCTGACACAAGGCCAGGCTTCCAACTGGTGGGACAAAGCTGAACTCATACAGGAAATAAAACAAGAAAGTATCAGCGCTATTTGAGTATAGTATCTTAAAATTTATATATAATCCAAGCAGCTGCTAACCACCGTGAGAATCTTTTAAACAAGAGTGATAGAAAGTAGTAGGTAGTAACGGTGTAGCGCTTATGTGCAGAATTGAATATAAAAAAGTTTACCCAATTTTTCTTCTATGTTAATCAGTTATTCTTTGTTAACCTTAAGGTAAAATAGAAAAAATACATAACATAACTCATACAGGAAATACGCTAGGCAGAGGGCAATCAACTGGCCTCTTTACCCGGTATCCTGCATCTGCAGAATCCATATCAAGAGATGTTCCAACTCAGCCCAACCATATGTATCCTATTGGAATGCCTTGCACACTTAGCTCTGTTCTATAACTCATGTTATCCACTAGTTATTTCACCTCCTAGTACAGTGCTCCTGTTGTTTTTCTTGTTTTCTACTTACTGTAGGAACTGCTCTTGCAAGTCCATCACAAAGCTCAAACTCCACTTAAAATGATGTCTTTATTCACGACCTACCTCTATATTTAAACCTCTTCCCTCCATCCTGTTGATGTACAGGTCTTCTTCTATATGAATTATTTTCTTGACACTTTCTTGCATTCGTTTAGTTTAACTACAATTATCATCCAATCTCTTTCTCTCTTCCTGTGTCTCACTTCGAGTTAGTACTAGGCACCAGGTAGCTCTCCGGCTGCTGTGGACCTGCTACTTCTATGATAACATTCTAGAACCTGGAGTTCTTGTGATAAGACCTCCCTAGGCTGGCAGAGCAAAACGGATGACGTAGTTCCACAAAAGCTGGAGAACAATATGTAGTCTGCCAGTGTTTCAGTGCTTTTTTTTGTTGTTGTAAATTTTAATTTTAGAACAGTAAGAAAAATAGGTTTATTAAAATAAGTAAATGAAAGTAAAATCCATAGCTTGGTAATAAATGTTATAGGGTTGTCAGCATAAAGCTTTTTCTGTGATTCTTTTTATTACTGTTACTGTGAGGCTTATAAACAAAGAATTGTGGAAGATCAACAAAGGCAACTGCAAAGATGGAAAATGCTTTGGGTGGAGAGATTTACCAGTTGGTCTAGCTTAAAGGGGAACTGCCATTTCTCTGGAAAGTACATCATTTAACATGCACTGAATATGATCTATAATTTGTTTTTAACTTTTTTTAATGTGATGCTCCTTTTTTAATTCATATTAAAGTACACCTGTCATTACCAAAACTAATTTTCTCTCTTTCTCTAAAAAACATCAGATTTAATTTATATATTGTGCTAGGAGTTTTGCTAGTCAATGTATGGAAAAATAGGATCTTTTCCCACCTGTCAGTCAGTTTTTCAGCATAGACTGTGCTGAAAACTTCATTTATAAAAGAGTGTAAAAGAAGATCACCCACAAGCAGTCCTTCTGCTCTCTGTCCATAGCAACCACATGGCGTGTGCTATGGTATCTCCCTAGCCAGTCTTGCTATCAGACGCTGGCAACAAATTCATTGTATCTGAGTCATGGTGGAGTTTTGTCCTGCTTGGGAAAGCCTCTCCAAGCAGGGCAAATCAGAGAACGGGCATACTGGAGGTGGGAGTATGTGGGGAGCGGATGGTCAGGTAAGTGGTGACAGGTTCCCTTTAAATATAGAGTAAATTACACACAATCTAATTTAGACACTGCCAGGGTCAAACATTGAAAAAGAGGTGGAGAAAGAGAAGCATTGTTTTATTTATCCTCCTCTTTACTGAATGCATTCTCTGTGCTGACTGTCAGATACAAAGGACAGAGCTAATAACCGTGATTGACCGGGAGTTATGATGGAGGTGTCCAGTTGCAGGATTTCTACATTTTATTTCATTTTCATATCTCTCAAAATATTTATTTGTTAAATGTAGGGGATATATAAACACAAAATAAAATATCCGAGAAGTGGCTGTTCCCATTTTAAAGTTTGCAAAACCTTTTGTCAATTCTCCCAATTTTTAGTTTAGGTGATAAACCTGTTGGTTGAGATTTTGCATGTCTGTTACTTCTTAGTTTTGTTTCATGTTTCTCCCCTCTCCCACCTGTTTCCTTCCTTGTCTCTCCCTCTTGGTCTGTGTGTCTTGTCTTCTCCCTCTGTCTGCACGTAGACTGTGTGTTTACTGTAATCTGATTCATGCTCCATCATGCCCCGCACCCACAGTTTAAGGTGTGTATCCCTGTGACTTGTGAAAGCTGGAAGGAAAATAAAATCAAATTTCCCGCCCTGATTTACATATTCCATTATATTTCAAAAAACAACATGATGTAGATTAACGTTACAAACCCCTGGAGGGAGAATGATGAAATGAATAGGGTAAACGAAGTTCCCATTCTCCTACTTTGAAACAATGAGCAAAAAGCTGTTCTAACAACTGAAAAATATTTCAAACTGTCAGTTGGGGCTTCAAAGGGATTGAGTCAGAGGAACATATTGCATGTTATATAGAATAAAGGGCAATTGGAGGATAATTTTATCATGTCAGAACAAATAGTATGAAGATCATCCATTAACCCTATCCTATCCATGCCAGATGGTTAAAGGAAAACTTCTGCAGTTTTCTGAGCATTGGCATTTAAGTGATCCTTGCGTAGAAGCAGAATTTACTCACGCTCCTGTGACCAGCACTGTATTTATATTACCGGACACCACTAATGCTTGGTTGTATAGGATGAGGTATTAGCAGTAGAAAGAAGGAAGTGCTCATGCCGTTGTACAGAACACTGGTGAGACCTCACTTGGAGTATTGAATGCAGTACTGGAGACCGTATCTTCAGAAGGATATTGATACTTTAGAGAGAGTTCAGAGAAGGGCTACTAAACTGGTTCATGGATTGCGGGATAAAACTTACCAGGAAAGGTTAAAGGATCTTAACATGTATAGCTTGGAGGAAAGACGAGACAGGGGGGATATGATAGAAACATTTAAATATATAAAGGGAATCAACACAGTAAAGGAGGAGACTATATTTAAAAGAAGAAAACTACCACAACTAGAGGTCATATTTTTAAATCTTTGCCCCTCTAATTTAAAACTATCAGGAAATATTACTTTACTGAGAGGGTAGTGGATGCATGGAATAGCCTTCCAGGTGAAGTGGTAGAGGTTAACACAGTGAGGGAGTTTTAACATGCGTGGGATATGCATAAGGCTATCCTAGATATAAGATACGGCCAGGGACTAATGAAAGTATTTAGAAAATTGGGCAGACTAGATGGGCCGAATGGTTCTTATCTGCCGGCACATTCTATGTTATAATACAATGCCGGCAAAGCAGATCGTAGGTTTGGGTAGTCACTGCTCCTGGCTGAGAATCACTTAACTGGCAGCACTGAGGGAGAGAACTCCACAGCAGATGCCAGTTGTCCTTTTAAGAACTACATTTGCGGTGATGGTGAGCATACCATCTTGCTTTTGCAGAGAAGAAAGTTTTTAAGCAAAGATACTTGACTTAAGTAATTGCACATAAAGACTTCTTTAGATTTATCTAAACACTATTTAATGTTTTATTTTACATTCTGTTCACTGATAACACTAAAGCTAAAATTATCTCCATTGCAGTGCAGAGGCCAAGCTCTACTTGTAGCCTGATTCTCATCCACCATCTCACTAGAGTGGGAGGACGGGCTGAAGGGAGGACATGGGCTGCACAGGATGGGGGATTCTGTCATTGTATGCCTTTCGCCAGCATGCTGTGACATCAGACATACAGTATGCAAAGACTTAATATTGGTCACACCAGAACTCTAAAAATGCCCTAATCATGCTGACGGAGGTAGTTACACCTATGACACCAAAGAGGCTAAACGCAATATGTGCATGGGCAGTATTTCATAGTGAAACACTGCACATACAGAATCTATGGTGCATGTTGCTTAGCGTAACCCTTTAATGTACATAGAACATTCCATTGATTAGAAACCTCAAAATAGAGCAAAGTTTAAAAAGTCAAAGGGGAAGGTATTGCACAACAAATAATGACTGCTGGGGAAGGAAGAGAGAGAGATGGAAAAGGGGCTTAATGGGAAACAAGTGTAGAGGCAGTACGTACACTGGAGGCACATATAACCATTCACTGCCACTTTTGTCCTCTCACCCACCCACTATGGGTTACGGTCTTGATAGGGATTAATTTTTTACGGACTGTAGCCAAACAGAAAGTACATGATGTACCCAACTTTGTTCATGCAACCCTGTTAACTTTGTACATATGATTACTGTCTTCTACAAACAATGCCAAACTTCTCATGTATAAATATGTCACAATAATAATACGTTTTTATGCAAATGTTATTGTTTTCAAATTGCGACCAGAAAATCTAAAAATAAAGATTGTCCAAAAAAGTTTAAAAAGTCAAACCCCTTGGTAACTTATGAAATGTTCCTGTTGGTTACAGTGGTGATTGCTAAACCTTAATTTTACTACATTTTGGTTTTAGTGGCACATTTAGCCCATGTAAAACTGTACAGCCTGTCCAACTATAAACAACTCCTAAGTTACGTTGGCACCTCTTGTCTCACCGAACAGTCTTACCATCTTCATTTATGGTTCTGATTTCCTACATGCACTGTCTTCCATTTCCTGTGAATTATATGATTGTAAGCTTAGCCCTCTCTATCTCACTTGTCGTAGTATAATGGAAACTCTACAACTAAACTTCCTTGTAGACGCCCAAAGACAATCACAAATGGTCAACAGCCCCCAACTTTGGTAGAATAAAAACTCTTTGATGGCTTTCCGGAATCACTTATCATTCTGCAAGAGTGGGGGGATTCTCTTCTGTCACCAATAGAACCCCAAATTTACTAATGTTATAACTGGTTTATTGCTTTCTTCCATCTGCAGAGGAGGATTTTCAGAAGCTCCCTCCGTCCACCGTGCCAGAGATGCAGCGGAGTAACCTTTCACCAGTGGTTTTGCAGCTGAAAGCACTTGGCATCGACAATGTTCTACGTTTCCCCTTCCTGTCGGTTAGTTGGAGGCTTGGTCTGGGAATAGATGGGTTAGAAGGTTATGCCAAGAAAATGGTTGCACTTTCTATGTATGATTGATTATCTGTTTTCGAATAAATCCTTCTACAACTATTTCAATTTATATTTTTCAATTTTCATCTTGATTGTTGCCGCCCTAGTTTGTGGGTGTGTCTCAAAATGCATAGTTCTGTTTTGCTTTATAAAGATCCGGTAATCTCTTAATCCAGCAGGCAGAACGTTGACTCCCATGATGCTTTGACAGCCTAAGCATTAGTGAAGTATTAGTTCAACAGCCTGAGGTGGTGCTACATGTTAACCACCCATTCCACAACTTGGAGATCTGTAGTTAATCAGATACCATGAGCTATGGCGTAACTGAGAGCACTATCAGAAACTGGAAATTCTTATTAATGCTGTGTCTGTCCTGGGACAAGCAGACACCCCTGAATAGCATTAGATTTCCAGTATCTGCAGTAAAATGGATATCACTTGAATCTGTGACACTATTAATGACAACCTATAGATGTGCATTACTTATGTTTATTTCTCTATCTCTTCCAGCCACCCCCTGCACAGTCAATGGTTCAGGCCTTGGAGCTACTGTATGCGTTGGGAGGTGAGAACTCCTATGTTTATCCATAACCTCTGTCTCCTGATTTTATACATCGATAACATTCATACTGAAACTAACTGTGTCTTCAGTGGAAGGATGCATCTTGCATAGTTTGTGCAGACTTGTAGATGCATGTTTTTGCAGATAACTTGCATATTGGCTATACTGAAGGGGGCTTAAAGACAAGTGGGCCTATATTCTAAGAATAGCTGAAAGTCATTGCTTTGGGGTATAAATTGCCCTTTAAAATAACTTTGTGTTTAAAAGCCACTCTGTTACTTACACCTGCTATGAATCTGCTGTTACCAGTGGGAACATCACATCTTAATGTGACATTCCAAAAACACGGATCTCTCTAGCTGATACATGAATTTTGAAAAAGGCAAAGCCTTTAGCTCTAAATGCGGAGTGTTTTTTGTTTATTGACTGGTGTATATATATTATGTTTGTACCGCAGGTCTTAACGTACTGAAAACCTGTACTGGTGGAGGTTCTCAAGGACAGAACTTTTCTGCTGCTACATGGTCTTTGATATTCTTGTTGCCTTCTGTTAGTTATAATTGTTTAAGAATTTCCTGAAAAATACAGTCAGTGTGAAGTTTAGTTTACATAAAAGAGCACATTTTGAGGGAAAGAAATATAAATATATAAGTTATGGAACTTGCTTGTTTTTAGTGTTCCTTGATATTGACATTTAACAGCAAAATGAAAGTGTTAATTTTTGGGGGGGTTTTTCCCCCTCATTTGAACATTTTTGGACAAATGACTGTGATTTGCATACTCGTCATATTGAGATTGCCTAAAAACAAACGTACTAATTAAAATGCAGCTGTGTGTGCACATTTCATTTTTTCTTTCTATTTGTGTATGCAACCTATTGTAATCTTTTTATAAAATGCGTGGTGCCGGAAAACAAACAGCCCCACGCATACACACACCACAGACCATACACACAATGTGACACCGCACAGGCAGAATACAACAACATACACACCTCAATTTAAAAAATTAGGACTGGCATGCCTTAGGACAAGATCTTGTTTTGGCATACTACTAATAAAAGGTTGCCGACCCCTGTGCTATAGGAATTTATATTTATATGCACTGTTTTCCCTTTCTGTAAACTATGTAAACCCTACCTTTAATGCTTAATTGCTTAGAAAAAGATGTATTTGTGTCATATTTAAGTATAGAATATACTTTAAATTGCATTGAGACTTAATAATTGTAAGTATTTTTCAGAAGGACTTACTATTCATTGGACATTACTGGTTTTCTTGGTAAATTTCTAAACCTAATGTCTTTGTGCTGTTTCTGCTTTAGGTCTGGATAAACACTGCCGTTTGACCGAGCCCCTTGGTGTACGGATGGCTGAGTTCCCCCTCAATCCTATGTTTGCCAAGATGTTACTAGAGTCCGGTAAATACCAGATGACCATTGAAAGAATTCACAGCTATAGGTCATTTACCATACTCACAACTGCCTAGACACGAATGGATCTGCATCCAGGGATATTCCTCCTGTGTCGCTACTCACAGCCATTTTGAAAATTTGCTGATCCATGTCAGATGCATTCATGTGTAATAGAACATGCTCACTTTAGTGTTTGTGGTCTGTGTGTGTGCGCAAGGATGTTTTACTGTCTTCGATACATATGCAGAGCTGTCGGCAAACTGGCAGCCCAAAAGCACACATAGGTGGCCTCCGCATCTCCAGTTCAGTAGTTTGAACCTATGATTTAAAGAAAGGTTTCGTTTCACAGGATTTTTTTATATTATGTTTACTTATCACTATATTTAACAAATATGTATTTGTGGAGTATGAAAAATAAAAGTAAATGCAGAAATATACACCTCTTTATTATGCAGCTGGGTGCAGTCATCTTGGCCTCCCTGTCAATCATTATTATAAGCTCTGCCCTTTGCATTTGGCAGTCAGCCTACGAAAAGGAGAAAATAAACAAATCGATGTTTCTATGGCTCTGCCGTATTTGCAGTGTTGGTTCTCGCTTTGCCTTGTCGGAACATGATTATGGTGTAATGCCTGTTAAATCTTTAACAGGCATTTAAAAGGAAGAATTAAAAAGCATCCCTTTTAACATTTCACTAGTTTGTTACTTTAGCCTCTATTGTCATTCAGTTTAAGTTACATCCTAAAGGATATATTTAACCTGTTAAATAAAACCACTAAACTGGAACTACCATATGCCAATATAAATCTAAAAGGGCTACGGAGGCTATAATACAAATGTCATTTTGGCTAGGTGTGAAATGAGTGGAAAATGACATACTACAAACATACTATAACATGAAGTATATAAGATTTATACTAATCTTTCTCACAATTAACGGTCCTCTATAACAGAAACTGAAGTTATTTTGAATTGCATGCTGCTTTCTCCCCTGGCTGCATTCTGTCTGTTTTAAGATGATTGCAGGTTTGGGATCAGATGAGGGAATTTATTAAACAGTGAATTGAAGTAAACAAAACAAAAAGCAAACAAAGAATATGAGAACCCTGAAAAGCTTAGTGAACCTCAGTAGCTTGCCGTTCGGTTAGTTCCCGCTCAGGTCTCAAAAAATGTTTTTGGTCACTTGTGCCATTACAAAGATAATCTATACAATTTACATATCAGACTGATCGCGACCATAAGGGCAGTCCAGGACCAATTCCTTTCTGCATTATAGATACAGCAATCTCGGGCGATCATGAGAAAAATACATATTTTCTGTATTTGTTGCAATGCATTTATTTACGCTCTCCCTAAGCTGGAAGAGTAGTCCAGGCATGGACCCCATGCTCACAGTGTCTAAAGGGGTATCAGATACATCGGATACACCTTGCTGATGAGGCCCAAAGAAGGTTGAAACAATTATCTGGGTTGCTGTATCTTTCATCCAGATAATTACTTGCCAGCATTTTGGTTCTGGACTGCCCTTATGGGTGGGATCAGTCTGATATGTAAATGGTATAAGTTCTCTCTGTAATGGCACAAGTGACCAAAAACATTTTGAACACCGGACTGGGGACTAACCAAAGGGCAAGCTACTGCGTTTCTCTAAGCTTTTGCACATTCTTAGAGTTCTCATATTCTATGTTTTTGTTGCAGTGAATTGTAGTAAATAGAAAAAATAGCTGATTTTGTAAAATTTTTAATTTTATGTTCACCAAAGTCATAAACCAGCTTTTTTTGTCCTGAATTTTACAGTTCTGTTTTCAATTTACCCTTCAGGGTAATTAACTAGACGAGATAAAGGTAGAGGAACAATAATACAATTGTAAAATATTTTCAGAGGCTTTAGTTCTTCCCAGTAATGTGAAGGTAGCTCACTTTTAGAAATTATCATCTCTCCTCCATTCATGATCAGATCTCACTTACAAGTGTACTGGTGCCCTCTAGTGTTAATTCTGTTACTCATCCTTTCTCACTTAACAACAGCAAAATACACACTCAATGCAGTCACACATTGGTTGATATGTGTTGTTGGTTTAGTTAGTTAGTTAAGCTTGGTGGGCTTTTTATTTTTTTTACTTTAGTCTTAAGAGAATGATCTCAGTTATAAAGTAAGATGTGATCATCCAAAGCAATTGTGTTAGATTTTTCAACAAAATGTTGTTTCTTGATTTTATTAAGAACCCCTCTTCCTTTTTTCTCTACAGGTAATTTTGGCTGCTCAGCTGAGATTTTAAGTATTGCCGCTATGATGCAGATTCAGAACGTCTTTGTTGTACCCCCGAATCAAAAATTACAGGCTGTGAGTGTTTGTTTCTACTGATTTAAGGCTCTGGAAATGTTGAGATAAAGAAAGAAACTGGGAAAATTGTAATGTTTCCATTTAGGATTAGTGTGTATGAAGAGACAATATGGGAAGGGTTAGTAATATATGTGGAAAAACCTGCAACATGTCTGGTTTTGCTAAAAAAATAATAACAATTCTGAATTATATTGCATACTGTGCCATTCTGTGAATTTCATATTTTGATTGACTGAAGGCACCAAGCAGTCAGCCTGAATATAGTTCTAATTTTAGATAGCTTAGTAACTCTCTCTAAATTACTTACTACGAATTTCTACATCAGCAAATTATGGCTTTGCTTTAATAAGTAGGATAAACGTTTAACAATATTTTTTCAATATTTTAAAATATTAAATATATCTACAAATCAATCACTCCAAAGATATATTAAAATATTACACAATTGTAAATATATTTCACAATATTATACATATGTGGGATTATCATACCTTCCACATTGGTTTTTGTAACATTCCTAATCCCCCATTTATTTATCTAATTCCGGAGATGCCTGTCAAGTCTGATGTCTATTTCAATGAGTGGTACCCAGTAATGGAGGTTTTGGTCCTGCCCCAGAGGTTAAGAATTAGTACATTAAACCAATGCCAGTGGAATACGGATACGTGGTAGAAGTAGTGGCGATAATATACATTGGCAATAAGAAGCCAGTTGAGATCTATTCTATTCCAGCAGCACATGATGTCAATCTTTCCGGTGGACATTATTTTCTTTTTTTATTAGACACGGGAACACCGCAAGTTTGCAGTGGAGGAGGGAGACCATCTCACCATGTTAAACGTGTTTGAAGCTTTCATCAAGGTATGCTACAACAATGTATGGCCTCTTGGAACAGTTAGGGTTTAATGCCAGATTGCTGGTGGGTAGATGTACAGCCACTTGGCGTAAAATACTCAATAGTTAATGAATTCAGTGATGGGTGATACAATTATTAGCTCAGTATCAGAGCTTTGCACTCCAGTGATAAGACTAACAGTGGGTAATCCAAAAAATAAACCTCCTTATTCATTGTTACAAAATCAAATATAAAATTAGGCAGACAAAGCATTTACATATATATCCATACTAACTCTAAGGGAAGGGGAACAACAAAAAACTGAAAAAGCTGGACACACGGCACAAGGTATAACGCATCTTGTGTTTCCCCTGACTGAATGCTAATAAGTCAATACTATTAAAAATGTTTTATCATTTTTCAGTCGTGCATTATTAGGTTGCTCTTTACTGAGTGTTTAATCTGTTATATTAAAAACAAGCAGATGGAGATTCATTGGTTAACCTGTAGCTAATTGCTGCACATGCAAGGGGTATGTAAACACTGTGTTCACTGATGAGGATGTGGTGGTTGGAAAAATCCTCCAGCGGGAACGAAAATCGCATTCCCCCATCCCTGTACAGTTAGTGTGGGTATATGTGCATACTTTATTTTTTTGTGACAATGAATACAAATCTTTATTTTTGGTGCTACCCACTGTTGGTCTCTTCCTTAGTGCAATATGATACTGTGCTACTATTTAAATCTTGAGGGGTGCAGAGACATGTACCCGCAAGAGAGTTTATTTCATCATTTGTTTGTACCTCGATACTGATGCACAACTAGTTTTAGCAACCGGTACTTTATCACTGAACTGCAGCAATGCAAAAACATCCTGCCACTTCTCCAATACATAGCTTGGATTTCTTGATGTTAAAGTTTGCATTTAAAGTTTTTTCCTATTTTTCTCCAGTTCAACAAGAGCTCCCACTGGTGTCAGCAACATTTCCTGAACTATAAGGGTCTGATGAGAGCAATGACTGTGAGGGAGCAGCTGAAAAAACTTCTCAGCAAATTCAAAGTACCCAAGAACTCAAGTGAAGGTGAGTGAGACAGGAATGCTTGGATAGTTGTGGGATTTGCAATAATCGGTATGAGCACTAATGTGAGTATGTAAGATAGTATTTATAGTGCACTGCAATTAATCATTGGTTAAAACGAACCGTTCACAAAACCGGAAAAACACGGAGCATCCATTAACATACAACAAAAAAAGGAAAGAAACAATAGATGATGAAGTACTAGAAATTAAACTAGGTTTGTGATTGTAGTAACACATGTTCTTCATTCAAAGCACAAGGTGATTCTCAGTACAGATGACACATAATAGTTTAGTAATAATCAATAAATACAGTTAAATGCACGGGTAGTAGCTATGCTCAAAAAATGCCCTGGATGGGCCATTAATGCACACAAACTGGGAGGCAGATAAAATTCCGGACACATTTATTATTGCTCCTTCATTCATACCCTGATGACATTTTCTGTGTTATGGAACTGCCTCTCTGTTTGTGGGTATATTTGGCCTGCCCATTGTATATAAGTTATTGCTGTATATTGGGTAGTGGGAGTATAAAGAGAAAAAACACCTCTGTATCAGTCAATACAACTGTCAATGCTGAAATCACATAAATACTTTCAGGTATAGGTGATAAGTCCCAGAACCAACCAGGGTTAATGGTCACAAGCACAACAAGTGTACTATTTGAATAGCTCAGGGAACATAGAACAATAGCTAGTATAGAATTGTAAAAAGAATGTAGAGATACATATGATGTATTCTAGCAATGAGTAGGGTGAGTGGAAGTTTTGCTTGGATTAATTAATGGAAGAAAGGAGGGATAGGGAAAAGAAAGTAAGAAATAAAAATATACGGAATGCACACAGGTAGACGAGGGGAGATAAGGAGAAGCAAAGGACTCTGTAAACAGACAAAGGAAGGAAAGAAGTAGAAGAACTGGGTAGGACTAGGGAGAGGAAAGGGAATAAGCCCACTACATGTTTAACCACGATTGCACATGGTTTACTTTGCGAGTGTGCCATTACCATTTAATGCTGCAATGTTATATTGCTGATATGTTTGATTTTAGGCCGTTTCTGCTGATAATTACAATCTGCTAAAAAACAGGATATTCTACATTGACATACAATAATACAATGTGTTCATACCACATTCACAATATTGTGCTTATGTTTCTGTGTTTCCCATTCACTATTTTTTATATTCTTAATATATATCTTTTAGGAGACCCAGATCCCATCTTGAGATGTATTGTGGCAGGATTCTTTGCAAACGCGGCTAAGCTTCATTCCACTGGGGTGTACAGGTAACTGAGGAGTGTAAGAGCTACATTTAGAGAACAGAGCAGATAACTTTGGCTAAAAGAATCATAATTATGTTTTTGTTTTTGCTGCTTTAGGACAGTTCGAGATGGTCATGAGCTGCATATTCACCCTACTTCTGTGTTATTTGCAGAGAAGCCCCCAAGCTGGTGAGATATTGTTTCTTGACTCTTCCATCTGTCTACTCTACAACATGACCTGATGCTTATTGCTATCAGGGTATTCCTTGTATTGGGTCTGTCACATAGTTACATAGCTGAAAAGAGACTTGCGTCCATCAAGTTCAGCCTTTCTCACGTATGTTTTTGCTGTTGGTCCAAAATAAGGCAAAAAACTTAGTCTGGAGCACCAATTTTGCGACAAACTAGGAAAAAATTCCTTCTTGACCCCAGAATGGCTGTTTGATATCTCCTTGGATCCAGAAGTTATTACCCCACTAATTAAAAATTATATCCCTTTAGATTGTTTTTGCAAGTATTTATCCAATTCCTGTTTTAAACATCTGTACAGGCTCTGATAAAACCACTTCTTCAGGCTGAGAATTCCACATCTTTATTGTTCTTACTGTAAAAAAAAACCTTTCCTTTGCCTTAGATGAAATCTCAGTTCTTCCAGTTTAAATGCATGACCTTGTGTCCTATGTATAGTTGTATAGTCCTGTTTATGAATAGATTTCTAAACAATGGTTTGTATTGGCCCCAAATATATTTGTATAATGTTATCATATTCACTATGAGGAGCTGTTTTTCCAAACTAGAGAGATTTCATTGTTAACCTTTCTTCATAACTAAAATGCTCCATTCCTTTTTATTAATTTTGTAGCCAGCAGTTTTTCTAGTTCAAGGTGTGGTCTTACCAGTGATTTATTATGTCTTATGGATGTTGTGTACTCTGTCTCAAAGGGTGCTGTTCAGTGAGGTGATCCAGACCAATAAATACTACATGCGTGATGTGACTGCTATAGAGTCTGCATGGCTGTTGGAACTAGCACCACACTTCTACCAGCAAGGAACAGTAAGTACCTTACATGCCCACTTACCTGCTAGAAACTATAAGCACACACTGATATATGGAACGACACTTAGAGCCAAGTTATTAAAAGTAGCAAACACTAACATGATACCAAGAGGAATGAGACGCAAGTTATACTGATCTAGCTGGTAACATCACCTACAATGCAAATGCTGCATTTAGGTGGCTCTGATTTCTGCTCAGTGGAGTTGGAACTTATTATTTGAGCCACTCTCCTGCAAGGCTCTTGGCTGCAGTTCCACTTATCTAACACATAAAATGAATGGATTTACCACTTCAGCTTGAAGGTTATTCCATGCATCCACTACCCTCTCAGTAAAGTAATACTTCCTGATATTATTTTTAATCCTTTGCTACTTTAATTTAAGACTGTCCTCTAATGGCAGTTTTTCTTCTTTTAAATATAGTCTCCTCCTTTACTGTGTTGATTCCTTTATGCATTTAAATGTTTCTATCATATCGGCCCAGTCTCGTCTTTCCTCTAAGCTATACATGTTAAGATCATTTAACCTTTTCTTGTAGGTTGTATCCTATAATCCATGAACCAGTTTAGTAGCCCTTGTCTGAACTAATTCCAAAGTATTAATATCCTTCTGGAGATACGGTCTCCAGTACTGCATACAATACTCCAAGTGAGCTCTCACCAGTGTTCTGCTCTGTTACATTGTCTACCTACATTTAAGTCATCGGAAATAATCACCCCTGAATCCCTTTCTTCATATGTTGAGGTTAAGTACAAATATTCTGTACTCGGCCCTTGGGTTTTTACGTCCAAGATGCATTATCTTGCACTTATCCACATTAAATGTCAGTTGCCACAATTCTGACCATTTTTCTAGTTTACCTAAATCATTTGCCATTTGGCTTATCCCTCCTGGAAAATCAACCCTGTTATATATCTAAGTATCATCAGCAAAAAGACATACCTTACCATCAAGACCTTCTGCAATATCACTTATAAAAATATTAAAGAGAATGGGTTCCTGAGGTACACCACTGGTAACAAGATAATGCTTCAAATATACTCCATTGACAACAACCCTCTGTTGCCTTTCATTCAGCCACTGCTTTACCCATTCAACAATATTCAAATCCAAACTTAAAGGGACACTCCTGGCACCCAGACCACTTCTGCCCATTGGAGTGGTCTGGGTGCCAACTCCCACTACCCTTAACCCTGCAACTGTAAATATTGCAGTTTTCATAAACTGCAATATTTACCTTGCAGGGTTAACTCCTCCAGTAGTGGCACGGGTTTATAGCACAATCCCCATTTCGCTGAAATCCCCATTGGAAGGCATTGAAAACATTTTAAATGTTTTACTATGTGGGGGAAGGAGGGGAGAGGAAGGGGGAGGGGGGGGGCCTAATGCGCGTGCACGGCATGGCCGCGCATGTGCATTAGGTCTCCCCTGTCGCTGGCCGTGCATGCGCACTAGGTCTCCCCCGCCGGATGACGTCGGTGGGGGAGGAGCGTGGGCGGACCCTGAACCAGCGCCGAGGGACATCGGCGCTGGATACAGGTAAGTCACTGAAGGGGAGAGGGGACATGCAGTGCCAGGAAAACGGTTTGTTTTCCTGGCACTGAAGAGTCCCTTTAAAGATTGCAGTTTATTGATAAGCCTTCTATGTGCAACAATGTCATGAACTGATACCTACTGCTGTTGGAACACTTACAGTTTTGTGTGAACCGTACACTGGAAAAGTCTCATTGCTTTTTCACAGAACCTGTCATTGGCGGTAGTGTGAGTCCACTACCAAATATTTGGATTAACAGAGTAGTAAATATTGTTTTCTCTCATTATGGGTTACTCTCTATTCTTTCCTTTCTGTACCCTCCTTTTTCTTTTTTCTTGGTTGTAGCTTGCCTCTTTTGAGTCATACTATTTCAGTGAGGTAGCTATAGTTAGGGTTTGCCCTGTTTATTGTATGTTAGTCCTTTTTTGATTCAATAAAGTATCCTCGAGATTTTTAACCAATATTATTGTTTAACATTATTAGAGGGACAGATTCTCTCCTTTTCTCCTTTTCAATTATTCCATTAGGGTTACCCCCTGTTTTGTCCCTTTGGATTTGTGGCCAACTAGTTTCTATTTATTATAATCTATAACTTTCCTGAAACATAGTAGTTTAATCTGGAGGTATATCATTGTGACTGTACTGTAAAAAAATGCACTTGCCTTCCTTTTAGCTAAGTTAACAGTAATGCCAAATAAATTGTGCCTTGTTTTACTCTCTTTCACAGCATCTATCTCGAACCAACAAGCGAGCCAAGCTTGAGAATTTGTGAGCCTCTCATATCCTGGCACAGACCCCCAAAGGGAGGGGGAGAATACACAAAGCGATCACTGACATCTTCACATCAGCCCACCAGCCTCTGAGATGGCTTCTGAATCTGGCACGGACCATTATCACTGTTACATGCCTGTGGCCTTTGGCCTGCCTCCATGCCTAGGGGTATATAGATATGTGTATAAGAGAAAGCGGTTTTATTTTTTTAAGTTGTAAATGATGAACGGAAGCGAATAATGGAAGTATAAATGATAAACAGGATTTACATTCTGTCTCCAGATCATTGCCATATTTGTGTCTGTGTGTATATTGTGGCACTCTGTGCTGCTACACCACGTACATTCACCCCACCCAAGCGCTTTATGACAGACAAAAACACATGCAAGTGTCTTAAGCACTATTATACCTTGCCAAGAACTGAGTTGGCACAATACGGGTGCCACCTCTTATTCCATATAGATACACTGAGATGACAACCATCAATAATGCACTCTGTATCTGCCCCTCATCCATCCTCTTCTGTGCTTGTAAATATCTGTATATCATTAGAATGAACTAATAAAGCACTAGGTACCTCACAAGTGTATGTTGCTTTAGAGCTTCTGGCTTGTGCAAAACCGTACTTTGTGTTCTAGAACCTGTCCGATTACAACACCTTGCAGCATTACTGCCATTCTTTTCTATGTACTCTTATACCTCAGATATTTTGTCCTTAAATATTAGAAGCTATCAACAACCATCTTACTAAAATTGCTCTGCATTTGAGTTCTTTCAGAGTAAGACTTTTTTTTTTTTTTTTAACTGGACTTCTATCCTACTCAACCTCTCAAAGTAAAAACATATTTTAAGGCACTGACCTCTTAATTCTGGATTCTATATAAAACAGCCATTTACAAAGCATGTTTTGGTATTTAAAAAAACACAATCTCAATTACGGTTCTTGAAGGGAGATTCTAAGCACCTAAACAACTTTCACTAAATCACACAGTTTTGGTGTATAGATCATGCCTATGCAGTTTAATTTCTGCAATTTGGGTGTTAAATTTATTTCTGTTAATGCTGTCCTCGATACAACTCTCCTAGCTTTACTCACACAGTCTCCATGAGAAAAAAAAAAGCTTTTAAACAGATCTTACAGCACAGTGTGTTTACTTTAGAAGTTACTGAGTCCTGCTCTGTTTATTGAACTTTAATCACACAGTCTGCTACAGGTTCGAGCGGGCAATTAAAAGAGCAAGTATTTCTAAATGAAACACATTGATCTACAAGGGAAGCTAAAAAGTGGTAGGCTCTTTTAGTAGGAAGTGTGTAGGAAGGCTGTGTGAGTCTTGGCAAGTGGAGATGTGGATAGGGCTGCGTAAGCAAAGTGTTTTAACTCCTAAATTGCAGAGAAGTGAGGAGCGAGACTGGAGGGGCTTGATCTATCCACTAAATTACTTTATTAAGCAAACATTGTTTCGATGCTTAGAGTGTCATTTTAAGGTCAAAGAAACACGAGTTTTACAGATGGGACAGATGCCGGTTTTACAACAGCTGGAGAGAGCTTCTGTATTTTATGCAAAACAATGCAAAAACTCAGTATATGCTGCTGTCTGGATGACGTTACTTTTCATGGGGGAAAAAAAAGCATGGCATTAAAGATACATTTAATAAGTGTAACGGGACAGCATGCTTACAATTGCTCCTCCCTAGTGTTTGTAATCTGGGGACCCTAGGGGTAAGTTGGGTGAACATGAGATGTCTTCTCCCAGTGACATAGCTGTACATGACCTCGGTTTTCGTTTCTGTGCTCAAAAAATGTAATACAGACACACACAAGGAAGAGCCTTGATGTGCTTGAGAATATTTCTTATGGCCACAACAAAAAATAAGGTATGTGGGGGTGCAAAGCTCCCATTACTAGGGTGCCTAGTTGTTAAGCCTGTGAACATAATTTGTCACATTTTTATTCTTGAAAATATCATTCGCAATTAACCTTAATCCAAAGAAATTCTTTATGTGAAACCCATTGCGAATTTTAATGCAGCATGTTTGACTGCACACACTGCGAAGGTATGCCATATACATATAAAATTCCAGTGTGTGCCAATAGAACTATCATTGTGCCTTCAAAAGATAAACTGCATGCGTGAACGGTAGAGTTCTCACTAAGCACTTTTCGAAGAGCAGTGCAGCACTGAAACTAGTTAAGTGAATTTGTCTTGTTTGTGTTTTTAGCATAATAAAATTTTGTCAAAATCTGGTTAAATGTTGTATTATTTGTTTGTGCAAAAAAAAATTATATGTGTAACTATAGGAACAATCTAAAATCATAGGTTTCACTTTTTTGCAAATAATTCTTAATTGTAACTTGATCGATGGCTGAAGTCTGCAGTCCCCTTGCTCCGTGAGTTATGAGTGGGTTTAAGCACTGGCAATTTATATAAAGTCAGGGTTCGCTTTGGTTTTCAAAACTCAAGTTCATAAAGTTGAATAACACTCAAATTTACACTTAAACAAATATTATATAATGCTCATATGCAGAATGCTTACCTTTAAAAAAAAAAAAAAAAAGTATAATCTGCTTGCTATGATTCTAAAGATTACATTCTTAAATACCTTTTGGTTTTATGAAAACTACAGATGTTGCTGTCTTAATGGTTTCAGTGCTGCATCTCTTACATAAATGTTTAGAGCATGGGTCATCAACCTGGTCCCTACCGCCCGCTAGTGGGTGTTTCAGGATTCCAGGTGGGCGGTAGGGATTTTCTAATTTTGACAGATTGGGCGGGTGGGTGCGAGCCGGCGGTACCCCTTCAACCGGGTACCGCCATCACCACTTGCGGCCCCGGCTGCATATGGAGGGGTCCATTGGGTGGCCCATGCTCTCAGGGCCACCCAATGGCTGGGCGCTTTAACAGCGCGACCGGGCCCCCTGTGATTACATCACACGCTGGGAGGAAGTGACTGCACGTCACTCCTCCCAGCTGACATATAGACCGCGCGGGAGGAGGGAGCACTTGCGCGAAATCTGGTGGACGGTAAGGAAATTTTTGTTCAACCAAAAAGATGCATTAGTGGGCGGTAGGTAGAAAAAGGTTGACTATCACTGGTTTAGAGGGAATAGTGGTGAAAATGAATGTTTGCTTTGTGTGCACTCAAACAGTCCAGAGTTAAGAAAACAATCTAAACACACAAACAATCCATGGTCTTAAGGCAGTTCCGTTGAAAATAACAGTGCCATCAATACACCACTTTACAATTTTGCTGATCATTTTTAAAGCTATTAATAAAAAATATTTAATAAAAAAATGTATAGTAACCTTTTGAACTCTTGGATGATGTTATGTTGCCACCCGATGAAAAGGCAAAGACACTTTGACCATTTCTTGCCCAGCAAAAAGCTAGAGGCAACAAAAGAAAATATTAAATCTGCCTGCGGCTTGAACACTCTGAGTGCCTGGAGATTTTCTTGTTTCCCTTATCGTTATGGGATTGCTGCTCCTGTTCAAGTGCACCGAGTGCTTGTTGGGCTTGAGTATGGCTATTTGTAACAAAGCAAAAAGCTAGAGGCTACTCCTAAAAATAACCTACACTTCTTTTTCTTTTCTTTTTTTTTGAATCTTTAAAGGAACACTACAGCATTAGGAATACAAAAATTTATATTATTGCCCTACTCCGCGGTTGAGATAATAAATCTTTCTATCTCAGCCGTGGAGGAGATCAACATCTCCTCATAGAGATGCACTGATCTGAAGATTTGCTGCAAATGATTGACACTGGATCTTTTTATGTATTTGTTTTATTTATTGCTTTTACGATCTTCCATTTCATTATCTATATAATATAAAAGAAAAATTGAGGCATACTTCAACCTGGAGCTGCATATTAATTAAGAAATGCTGGATTAGGTAGAAGAGGGGCTATGGTGGTTGTTTTAAAATTTCTAGTTCATTATAATAATGGCGGGACATCATTAGGGTTGTTCAACTATGCAGTCCAGACAACATAAGATAATATTTTTGTGACCTTTGATCAGTCTTTACATGACTGATCCCAGCTAGTCCCTCTAGTGCAGTGAAAGCAACTAGAGGTGGACTTAGGAAGCATGAAAGACAATGTTTACACTGCTGAGTCTACAAGGACAGCCTCTTTCATGACGAATTAGGGTTTCAAAATGATGATGCAATTTCGAGATAAACTCCTCCACACTTAGGGGGGAAAAAACCCCACATATGTTCGTGTACTCACCCCATTCAGTTATGCTTATGTTGTTTCTTATACGCTTAATTTTCACATGTATACATTTATGATCACATATTCACAAACTATACAGTTATGTTCATGTATTTAATGCATATATAGCTATTGTTACATATTCACACAATTATATTGATTGGTTCTCTATCTCAGGTCATGCGTGTCAAGACTAATAGGGCCTTATACAAAGATCAGTTCCCTACTAAAGTGAGATTGGAAAAGATGGTGGGAAATCGTATTACAATAAGCATGGAAACAATTTTCTTTCCTGATCAAGCCATGGCAGCATTAACTTATGGGCTCCTCCCCTCACGACAGAAAGGGCAGAATCCAGAACTGTGAACTTAGTAGACTTTCATGGCTGCCTCCCCTTGCTGGCGGTTCTCACCAGCTCCAAGGAGGGAGATTGCTTCTCCTCTATCTCCCCTGGCAGGGCCTTGGCATTCTTCATGCTGGGGTCTGGGTCACTGTGTGTCCTTTTCCATGTCCATCAGGTGGCAGATGCTGGTGACATCTGTAGCAGAGCTCTTATACCCTGACTAGTTACCTCCACCGATTCTTCCTCGAAGCTGTAAAAAGCGCTGTTGTGATTATAACCCTTTCCCCCAGCAACTAGACGACACAAAGCTCTTGGAGTCAACTGAAGTTTATTGAGCAACCCACGGTCTTTTATGCACAGATCCCCAGCATGGGGTCTCCATAGACTAGTATACAAACCCCTCCCAGACACATCTGTGTCTTAGAGATAATTGTGTAAAGGAAGTGATAACTCCATTATCTCTCAGCTACAGGAAACAATACAGAAATGCAAAAAACATCCATAAAATACAGGAACCCCACAAATGCTATATCCCCAAAAGCCTGCATCTGAGTGCCCAAGTTGTCCAAATAGTGCTCAGATCCCTTCGGTAGAACGGAATCGCCATTCGGCCGGCCAGAAGGTACTAGCCCAAAATTGTTCCACAGAAAAAGGGGCATTGGCTGGTCTATTTTCTGGTTCCTGTGTGAACACCGACGAATGCCCCCCCCCTGGTCGCTAGATCCTTTCTCGCGGACGTCATTCTCCTAACTTGTCTAGAAGCTGAATGGGTAGCAGCACCCACGGCATTCACGGGATCACGTAGCTGACACAGAGTTACACACACCTGATGACCATGTACCGCAACCTGCGTTCGGGAGACAAAATGGGAGCTATTCCCTAGAGAACGTGTTTTCGGGTAAAAAAGGGAAGATCACACACTCTTCTGTTCGGGACCTGAACTGGGGGAATATGGACAGCCGAACAAAGGGAAACAAATCTTGTAGAGTGACCACATTTCGCTACATCATCATTCCTGGGTGCAACCAGGACGTGGTTGGCTGGGAGAGCCTCAGTATTTAAAGGGATACAGTGGGAAGTATCCCTTTAGTAATGGTGACATGTCACTGAGGGGAGCACCTGATGCGTTTGTGCTCTGTATAGTGTCTATTACTATATTCCTATGTTAAAATGCTTTCTATTTGTGTACTGAACTTGGTTTTGTGACTCCTAATATGACCCTATGCCACCTGGACCGAACTGTTCCTTAATTTACACCTATGTGGGATTTAGATCTCAATATAAGCACACCCCTAACACACTAAGCTTGCTCACATTGCTTAAAACAGACTCTGATAAGTAGACTCTTTCAAGTAGGAGTTAGAAAACCAGGAGTTAAAACAAACTAGCAAGGTAATTGTTTTACTGTCCTGTATCTGGGGAAATGAGTGTTAGCAAGATTGCTGGTTTGACTCAATGCACATCTTGTTGCATGTATGCATGCCTGCATGTACCCGTCCACGGTCAATTCCCCTGTGACGTGTGTACGAGTGGCTTCTCTGGAAGCTCAGATTGGAGATCTGGACAGGAAATTGCGACATTGAGGGATATCGACAATCTTGAGAGGAGTCTGCTACTCACTGAGCAGAGTTTAGTGGGAACAGGTAGTGGAGTGAGAGAACATAACACAGTTGGGGAACAGACACGTAGTTGGGTGACAGTGGTACGAGGTAGCGGGGGGGAAGGGAAGAGGAAAGGGCTAGCTAGTCCTGACTTTGTGCAACCTAGCAGATTTGCCCGTTTGAGTGAAGATGTTGGAAGCATCAGCTCAGGAGTAGCGGTACTAGAGGAAGCTGTTGCTTCTAACAGCCGAGGGAACAGCCCCTCTAGTATCGGTGGGGATGAAAATGTAAGGAAGACTAGACAGGTTGTGGTGGTAGGGGACTCTATCATTAGGAGACTATATACGGCAATCTGCCGCTCTGATCGGCTCAACGGGATAGTTTGCTGTCTCCCGGGTGCTCGGGTCCAGCATGTTTCTGACAGAGGGGATGGATTATTGGAAGTGGCTGGGGATGACCCAGTGGTCATGGTCCATGTTAATACTAATAACAAAGTTAGAGGAAGATGGAAGGTCCTAAAGAATGAATTCAGGGAATTAGGTAGTAAACTTAGGAAAGGAACCTCCAATGTGGTATTCTCTGAGATATTACCTGTGCCATGCGCTACAGCGGAAATGCAGCGGTAAATAAGAGCGATCAATGCGTGGCTGAAGTCTTGGTGCAGGAAGAAGGGTTTTGGGTTTTTAGAGCACTGCTCCGACTTTGCAGTTAGGCACAACCTTTATAGCAGTGATGGGTTGCACCTAAACGGGAGAGGGTCTGCAGTGCTGGTGGATAGGATGGCTAGAAGGTTGGAGGAGATTTTAAACTAGTAGTAGGTAGAGAGGGTCATAGCAATCTACAAAATGGAGATAGTAAAGAAAGGAGATGGATTTTAGCTCAGTATAAGGGGGGAGTGGAGACAGGGGTAGGGGCAAGCTCAGAACAGAGGAGCTATGTAATATTGGTAAAAATTCACAAAAAGTACAAGTAACTCATGATAATAGTAAATGTATGCTTACTAATGCAAGGAGCCTAAATAACAAAATGGGGAAACGAGGATACACTAAACAATATGACATAATAGCTGAAACATGGTGAGATGAGACACATGACTGGACAGTTAACTTAAACGGGTACAAACTATTTAGGCAAGATAGAAAAAACAGGAAAGGTGGTGGGGTATGTTTGTATGTCAACCATGAGTTAAAGCCAAATCTCAAGCAATTGGAATGTGATGAGGAAAATGTGGAAGCTTTCTGGGTAAATATCTGCTTGGGGCAAAAGTGGGGAAATCAATT